AAGGCCCCAAGGACTGAAAGAGGAGTTCTCCAACTGCCTGTGACCAGCGTGATGAGGCTGGCTAATAAGCAAGTGGCAGTGAAATGCAATTACTAACTTCTAAACCTACAGTGCTAATAAACTGGAATTTCTCTGACTAGGAGGGAGAACTCCTGTGGCTGAAATCAAAGGACAGGAGCAAATTTGGAACAGCGTTGTACAGCTAAAATGACACTGCCTCTTTCCCCAGCCATTGAATAAAATTATCTTGAAGGTTAATTAATACCTAAAATAAATGTCAATGAGATTGCTGATGACTGCTATACACTGTCAAATCCAACTAAAAATCCAGATGAGATATGCATGTTGTGTGCAAGAGGAGAGGAAAAAAATGGTTTTTTCCCCGTGTGTGTGTATTTGTATGTGAAGCCTTCAACAGAAGTGGAATATCAGTAGTTTCATTCTGCTAGCATGGGAGTATATTTGAGACATTGAATAGATGACAGTATCAGGATGAAAATTCCCCTGTCACTTGTTAGGATAACATCTTGGATCTGTTCTCAGCAGAAAAAGAATTGAGATAAGAATTGAGCTCAGAACTAAACTTGGATGTTCTGCAAGTGGAAGTGGTTGTGGCCTGAGTACATCTTTCTTGGAAATAGAATAAAAGTCTGAAGATGTAGTTCAGCTGAGATATTCAAATAAATGGACTTTTGTGCCTAAATAACATCTGAAAATGGTATAACTTGGTAGTTCCAGAAGAGGTAAATCTCTCAGAATTTAAAACAGTGCCAAAGGATCTCAGTAGAAAGAAAGTTAATGGACAGAAAGATTCAGATAATAATTGAGTTGCTTGTGTAAACAGCTAGAAAGCTACAAGCCTATAGCTGATGGGAGGGGGCTATGCTGTTATTAAAAAATATAAGGAAAATACTACATTGCTTGTATTGAAGGGAAGTTGAAAAGTTTCATCTATGGATGAAAAAAGCAAAAGAAATTAAGAAGAAAACAACAAAAAGTCTAAGGAAATTTTTCAAGTGCATTAATAGCAAAAATATTTTAACAATTATATGAATCTGTCATAAATGTGTGTCGGAGGTTTGTTGATAATAGAGACAAAAAGAAAAATTATTCAGTAAGTATTATTTATTCAGTAAATATTATTCAGTAAAGTACTCTAGAAAAAAAAAACAAAATTAGTTTTTTACTGTCACATTGAAATAATGCAATGACTTTCTTAACAACCAAAAAATATTGTGGAAAAAAAGTGTTATTAAAATGCCTACTTTGTAAAGCAACTGGTTGAGACATCTTGTGTTCAAGAATTTTGAAAGAACTAGTTGAGTAACTCTGAAAGACATCTATGTCTTATCCATGTTGATATTTTCAGTAAGTCTGTCAGACTACTGAGGAAATTCTGCAGAACTGCAAGAAAGTTAATGCTGGATTAGTATTTTAAAAGGGTAAACTAAATAAGCTGGATGAAAGTACTTAATTACTCTGCTCTACTCCTGCAATGTAAAACTGCTTGGTAGTATGAGATTGCTGCCTTACATCAGTCTGAGTAAAAATACCAGAATACTTTATATAGGATCAAAGAGCTAGAAAAGGGTTTATAATTGCTTCTTAATCTAAAGGGCTTATTTGAAAAGACATCTTGTTGCAGTGTCAGTTTGTCAAATGAGTTTATCAGTGTGACAAAAGTCCTGTAGGACATCCTACCTTCAGTCACTTTCTTTAATTGATATTTTATATGTGTACTTAAGTGAATGCCTGGTGCAAATTGCTGTGTCACGTTTTGGTTTAAAACACAACTATAAACAGGAATCATTGTCAATTAACTCTACCTGTAAGTTTCCTGTAAATGTAACCTCTGTGTTATGTTCTATTTAGGAGTTTAAGGATAAATCAGAAGACAACATTAAAACTGTACTGATGATCTGCTGATAACTTACAGATTAAGGCAGGGAAAAAAGTCAGAGTTCAGCTCACCAACGGGAACTAGGTATCTCAAAGGGAACTAATAGAGTGGAGGGTGGGAAGACATAACCTGGAAGGAAATATGTCACAGAGACACCCTTTTGACCATTACCTGCAATCTGTCCAGACAGAGTACAACAAAAGTGATGAAGTAAGCAAGGGACTTGGGGTTGAACCAAATAATGAGCAAAGAATAAGAGAGTTTAATAGCAAGCAGCAGGAGATCCTATTGATATTTTCAAAGGGCAAGGTTAATAACTTAAGGCTGTAAATACTCATGAATGAGAGAGGTTATTTATTGAGCTGAAAGTGGAAGGTTTAGGAGCATTGAAAAATACTTGAATAGGTAGCAGAAAAAGAGTCTTCTTCAGGCTTAGTGTGACTTCCTGACAGAGCTGTTATTCTATACATTAATCTTCTCAGAGAAACAGTGAGAAATATTGAGTTGCTATTTTGATATTCGAAGAATATCACTGGAAAGTGCTCTAAAGGAAATGCCTGTTTTGTCAGAGAGATGTCTTGGCTGATCTGGAATTGATTTCCCATCAGGAGTTCTAGAAGTATTTTCTGTAATTTTCTTCTCTTCTGCAAGGTAACAACAAGATTCAGGAGAAAAATCCTCCCTGCAGGTATCTTAAATTTTTTTTTTTCTTTTTCTGTAAGATAGTGAAAGAAATGGAATTACCTTCTCAGTCCTGGAGGTTTCTGATTATACTGAAAAAGAGATGGAGTTGAGCTGTGCTGTTAAAAGATCCCATCTTTTTCCTGCCACAGTTGAATGTTTCACTGTTTCTTCCTGATCATTTTATGTTCCTTAATTACAGACTTAGCTTAAAATCATGAATCTCCTTCCTTTCCATCTTATATTTCTTTTCACTTAAACAATTGACTTTTGCTGATCAAGACAGAGAAATCATGGAGGTGAAAAGTAATAGTCATTACTACTTTTTTCATGCTGATATTTATGTAATACAAAAAATTACATGTGTGAGAGGACATGATGTGGGATTATCAGAAGCGCCTTAGTGACTATGTGCACTAATTTTCAATTAAATTGAAGAAGCTGAATAAATGAGAAAGAAAAACAATTGAAATATAAAGCAAGAGCATAATCTGGACTAGAGGCTGCTAAGGTGCTACCATGAATTCTCTTCTGCTCCACCACAGCCAGAAATTCTTTGCTCTGATGAAATGAATGAATGGGGACCTATTTCTGTGGGTGCATATGAACAAATTCCTTGTGTGTCACTGAGTCTAGGCTCTTCTGTCCAAGGATCAGTGAACTCAGCTGTAATGACTGCCCTTCCTTCCTCTCAGGTGTCCAGTTAGGTAAGAGGCATCTTCCCAGGATAGGTGAATACATTAGAATGAACTCCTGAAGTTTTTTGCCAAAACTCAGTATGGTGTTACTGTTGTTTTGTATCTTATTTTTCTCAGCCATCACCAATGGCAATGGAAGTATTTTCCATATTGAGGGAGTAAATTCATGTTTCAGGTAGCTTAGGGCTCCGTTGCTGGTAATCTGCCACTGGATCTTGTGTTAATGAAAAGCAAGAGGAACATCCCAAAGGTGTTTGTAGGGGATGGGGGTGGGGTGTGACTGCGCCAAATATTTTGTTTCAGTTTTAGTTGTATTAGGAAAAATGTCTCTAGCAGAACTTCTGCTATGACTGTGCTGTGTTTGTGGGTCCCATGATACTCAGGGTATTTCCAAAGTATACAAGCAGCTTGGAGTGTGTGAGGAGACGAGTGGGTGGAACAGACTTTACAGAAAACCCTGGGGAAGTAAATACTGAAGCTGGAGCAGTGCTGAGTGAAGAATGGGAGATACTGCTCAGTTCTCTATCTCAAAAGACACAGAGCATAAGTTGGGAGGAGCAGAATTCAGTTGTCAAAAGCCCTTTACACAGCAGATTTTCTTTTAATATAATAAAATAGATTGGTTTGCAATATATGATTGTTTATTAGCTTGGATTTTTCATTAGACAGCACTTTCATAAGGCTGGCTAAACTTTGGCCACATAATTCCCATTCTTTTTGAGGATTTCATCCTGTTATTGAAGATACCTTGTTTATCAGGACAGTGCCTGTGTCTTATATGCAGTGCAAAATCAACTTTTCCAATATTAATATCCCTAAATATTTGGAAACAGAGGCAAGAAAAAAATAAAATGTTTGACAATTGATCTGTGGAGACCCCAAATCTGTCATCAGTATATAGCATGTGTCTGCTGCAGCATGATTCTGCTCTGTTCTGTTCTAAAATTACATTTCCTTGGAACCCCTTGAATGACTGTCTTTAGTAACATAATAAAAGATGGAAAGATGCAGCATTTTCATGCTATGGAACATTTCACAGCATTTTACTCACTGTGTGATGCATTGTCATATATACTAAAATGAAAACTGTTATAGCATTTCAACATCAGACCAGATATTGCTGAAAAACGATATGCAATAGTGAGTGTAACGTATGAACATATGTTCAAGTTTGAGAGGTTTTTCTTTTTATAGATACTGATGCAAGTTTTTGTAATATTATTGTTCAAATTCACTCTGCTGAAAATATCTTAGATGTTATTAATGGCATGTCTGTACGTCCTTGTCTCAACTGCAATTCATGTGAGTAAGATTCCTGTCCCCTCTGACATTATTTGATGTTTTTATATTGCTGAATTCATAACCCAAATGGTCTAGGTTTGAAAGCAATTCCTTTTGCATCTTGCTGCCTGTGAACACCTTTTGACAACAAATATGTTTGTTTTTGTCAACTTGTTTATGACTTCTAGAAAAGACCAGGGATAATCTTAGATACAAACTACTGCATGTGTATTTTGACATGCACAGGTTAAATAAATAAAATAGATGTTGGTATGAATTGTTCTGGAGACATCAGGATGGTCCTGCACCAATGCATTGCAATGAAGGTGAGAGTGATGTAGCAGGGCTTTGTTACTTGTATGCTCATGCTTTATAATATGGGAGCAGAGTTTTGTATAGCAACATCAAACACATCCCTTCTTCTTTTTATTTTGTTGTAGCCGTTGTCTCCTGCTCTGGATCACATGAAGAAAACTCTTCTTCACCAAATCCAACTCAGAAGCTCTCCCTGATAAAAAATCGGATGGTTTCATTGCATCAGCCTTCTAAGCCAGGTACCATAAGTCCTCTTCCTTTCATCCTCCTTATTTCTCCCTCAGAATCAGGTGTAAGATAGATGCTGGCAGTCACAAGCACCTCTTACCAGAAAGCTGTGACACTGTGTTTCTGACTGGAACTAGAGCAATGACTCAGAAAGTCCAGTGTAAACTTAAGGGAATTACTTATTTCTGTATTAAACAAAAACAAAGAAGCTCAAACTCATAGCAAGCAAACCAAACCATGAAGAACTCCAAAAATCCTCCACAAAAGAAACTTACTGCCTCTCCCTCAATAAACAAACAAAAAAACTCAGACAAATAAAATAAATTAAAAAACCACAACACAGCAAGAAAAGGGAAAAGGAAGAAAAAGGAAAGAAAAATTATTTCCATCAGCACACTGAAATCCACCAGATCTGGGGTTGGAAATTCTTGAAATAAAAAATAGTTAGTGGAGCTGCTTTCCCACTACTATAGAATAAAGTATCTTTTTTGATACTGAATTAAGTTTTTTTTCCAAATGGAATTTGATTTTCAAGGCATTGTGGAAACCAAGTGAGCAGTGAGGTTTTCTAACACGTGCTCACTGCCTCTTGTCCTGTCAATGGACACTACTGAGAATGCCTAGCTTCCTCTTCCTTCCCTCTCATCAAAGCGTTTGTACACATTGATAAAATCCCCCTGACCATACTCTTCTGCAGACTGAACAGTCCCAGCTGTGCCAGCCTCTCCTCTCATGAAAGCTGCTCTGGTCCCTCAGTCATCTTTGCTCCTGCAGGAATGTCCCCTGCATTGAGGAGCCCAGAGCTGAGCACAGAACTCCAGCTGTGGTCTCACCAGTGCTGAAGAGAGAGGAAGGATCACTTCTCTTGACCTGCTGGCCATGCTGCTCCTAATTCAGCCCAGAAAGTTGTTGGCTGCCTTTGTTGTAGGGGTGCACTGTTTGTTGTTCACCATGCTCCCAAAGCCCTTCTCCTGGGCTGCTTTCCAGCCAGCCCCCAGCACTGGTGCATGGGTCACACCCCGAGGTGCAGGACTTGGCTTTTCCATCCAGGGGCTCCTGTCAGCCCAATCCCCAGCCTGTGGAGGCTGCTCTGCGTGGCAGCACAGCCCTGTGCTCTGCCAGCTCTTTTGTGACCTCTGTGACCTTGCTGAGGCTGCACTCTGTCTCCTTGGTCAGGTTGTTAATGAAGTTGCTAAACAATAAAGAAAGGCCTCTGGGTGTTAGGAAAGACACACATTCCTCCCAGGAGGTGGCAAGGAGATGTAGCCTTGCCAGAGGAATGTTTCCTATAGTAACATCTTCCAGATGGTATCTAATTCTTTAAAGTCCATTCTGATATACTCTGGACTGTCCATGAGGTTTTTTTCCATCTAATCTTCTTTGGAGCATTTTTGTAATACCTTAAAATATATCCTTTGCTGATTGTAGTAATGCAGATATATTTCTCTATTATACATTTTTTCTTTCAATTTTTCATATTTTCCCTTTTTGCTGACTTGTACTTGAGGGTTCTGCAGGTTCATAAGCAAAGCTGGATATGAAACACCTGTAAGGTGGTACATAGTGACACTAGAGGTTTCAGCTTTCAGTGTTCTCTTTCACCGTGACCATGAGTGTACCCAGTTCTCTTACTCTGTGATTTGTGCTAAAAAACAGCTTATTGTTGATCCATCACAATGCAACACATATAATCTCTTCCCAGAGAAAACAGTCATTTTTTTACTGAATGTCAAAACCTTTCCTGATCTGTTTCAGACTCTTCTTCGTATTCAGATTTCTTTAGCCTCAGGTTGTGGCAGACAGGCCATATAAAGCCCAGAGAGTTGGGAATTAGGTGCTTTTCAAGGGGAAAGTTGTGTTCACCTATTTCAGCTGTGAACAACCTTGTAACATAAGACAAAGGACCGAATCTGCATTGGTAGAGTCCTTGCCACTGCAAGCTGAGGTATTAGTAAGGTTTGATGAAATTATTTTGTCATAAACAATAGTTCTAAGTAACTCTCTAGTTGAAAAAGAAAATTTTTCTTTCCTGAGCTTTCACTTGGGTCTCTTTGTCCGTTATGCTGTTGTGAGAGAAATTGCTTTCTGGGTTGTACCTGCAAATAAAAAAATTATCCGATAAAAATATTACTTCTACTGACAATAAGTCAATGGATACTGAGTTAACTGCCAAGCCTCAATAAATTTGAAACAGCACAGCAGGTCTGGATGTGGACTCTGCTTTGTCTCACACAGCTATGGAGTTTCTGAGCTATTGAGATCCCTAAAGTTGTTTTACTGCATCATCGAACCATAGCCCAGAGCTGTGCACAGACATTTTTCCCTAGATCCAACAGAGCCAGGAGAGGGACTGGTGTCCTCATTCCTGTGTGCTGCTGGTATCTGGCATTGCATACACACACATACACAATTTGCCAGCTCATCTGCTTGTGGCTTCCATGTAAAAACAATGGGCTGAACACTGCCCAGGCCTTTCCTAAGCTGCATGCATTTGATGAATTGGGCTAAGAAGATATTTGGATGGTTGGCCCAGGTGTCAGCTTGAGAGAGGCAGAAAACTCCAGTGTGAGCAGGCCAGAAAGAGCTGGGCAGTGTCCAAAGCAAGGGAGGAGAAGTGTTTGGGTGGGAGACCAGAGCCTGTGCCAACCCAAAGTTATGTGTGCAACTCTATAACATCTGTGTTTATCTTGCCTCTGCTTGCTGGATGTCGTTTTATAAAAATGAAGTTAATTCTAACTTCAGTAATTAGGAGAAAGTCTGCTTTTGCTGTCACATTCAAAAGATGCTTCTATTTCTCCTTTGTGTGAAAGTTTAGTTGAAGTATAGGAAATCTTCTGGAGGCTCTTATGTTTTCATTTTCGCCCCATTTGTGCCCCACCCCACACTTCCTTATTATGTCCCTGTCCTTAATTCTGTCCTTGCCTGTTCTCCTCCACAGGAACAGGACAACCAAAGGGATAACTTTCTGTCATTCCTGTTTGCAAGGTTCGAATACCTTCTAACATTAGGATCCCAAATATGAATGTTTAGTCTCTTAATATTTCTTACTTGGCCTGAGGACACTCCAGTTATTACTGTAATATTATTATTACTACTGAAAATAAATATCATGCAAATTAATATCAGCTCTATTCAACTCCACTCTGTGTGGGAGAGCTTTGTGCAGCTAACATCCCTTCAGGGAGTTTGTATTAGATTGATGAGAGAACAGTGAATTACTTCTTGTCTGGTTTATAATATGCTGATTATGAAAAATTCTGGCCAAGATGATCTAGTGTCTTTAGTACTGTGAGCAAACTCTGGAGTTTGTTAAGAAGACATTCTTATCCATCCTACTAGAGGAAAGCAAAACAGTTATATAAAGATAAAAAAAAATATGTAAAGTTTTCATTGCTCATCTGTTTTGCTTAAGACCCTGTCAAGCTCTTTCTATTGCTAAGAGAGGGTTGCCCTTAGAGTATCAGTTCTTCCTTTCTTTCTTTCTTTCTGCCAAAATGCTAAATCCATACAGTTTCAATATCCCTGTTGATATTATTGGTATTATTCTCATTTGGGACTTGGAGTACTTGTGGTCTAGACCTTCCACTAATATAAATTCATTGTTGATACCAGTGGGAGGAATTTGACTTACATTCTGCCAAGAATTTGCAGGTTAGATTTTCATTCTTACATGTTCTTTGACCTGCTCTGGGAGAGATTCTCTTGCTATTGCCCAAGTCAAAATTTCTTTTTCCTCTTCAGTTCTTCCATTTGTTGGGAGATATAAGCCCCATACACTGTACATTTGGTCACTCATGTGCCCCTTGAGCCAGGACAGGTCTCACTGAAACTTTTGGTTTCTCACAACAGAAGTCTCTTGTATCATCGGCTCAAGCTGCTCCTGGGTGACATCCACAGACAATTTTGGAAAACCAGACTGGGTGTTATCTTCCATTGGTGTCCTGGTGTCCCAGGAGAGGCAGCAGATGCTTCTGGAGAACAGCTCCTCCCACGGAGATGTTGAAGGTAGGCAGAGCTGCAGTTCCCCTGGCTTGGATTCCTGCTTTAGCCCAGCTCTGGCTGCAGCAGGAGTCAGCAGGCTGAGACCTCAGGGCTGTGTCCCTAAAAGTTCCCCCATGTGCTGGTTCTGGTGCAGAGCTCCCAAAAGGCACAGCCAGTGCCCAAGAGCCAGCAAGAGCCATGCAATTCATGTGTGCTCCCTCACCTGTGTATGGATGTACCCTCCAAATAGTCTGCCCCTTTATATACTCATTTTCTATCTCCCCATTTTGGGATAAGCTACTTTTGCTTATAGACACTGAATTTTACTTGGGAAACTCAATCCTATACAAGCCAGAGCTGGCTCCACATGTCTGCTGTCTGACTGGCAAAGTCTTTGGCTTTTGTTTTGTTGGACATGTCTTCATGCTGTTTTGGTTTCTTCTCTTCTCATTTCTTCTATAATTTCTTTATTTACACCCTTAATTTTTATTCTATTCTCTCTCTATATTTTTTTGTTTTTGTGCATAGTTCTTCCTTTATTCTCATGGCTCCTTTTTTCAAACTCCTTCTCCATTTTCCTCTTATTATCTCTCTTCCATCCATGCTGTGTGTCTCTTGTTTTGTTGTGCTTTTCTTTCTCTTCACAGGAGACATTTTCCTCCTGAACACCAGTAGATTCCCAGATAGATGTGAGTTCAGCCTGCAAAGCCCCATCCTGCCTGGGAGCCTGGATTCCTGCTTGCTGGAATTGGCCATATGTTCACAGGATGGTGCTCCTCTCCTCCAGAGATTCACAGTTGAAATCAAGTATGTGGAGACAAACAAAAACACAATAACTTCTCTAAGAGCTGGCCATGAGGACAATGCCAGGTAAGATTATCAGTTTTCAACTGTTAATCCTTTGAATTGCAAGGTAGAGTGGAACTCCTCCAGGCTGCTGTTTATCAGTGTCTTTTGCCTTCTTGAGATCATTGCTACTATTACAGCAGAAAATAAAGATACGACTGTCAGGACTGAAGCACACAGCCTCTTGACAGGATGCCTGTGACAGACAAAAGCTTTGTGTGTCCCCTTTGCAAAGAACACACTAGCTTGGATCTCCCTCTCCTTCCCTCACGTTTAGAAGGGTGAAGAGTGATTAATTTTTTCACTGATTCTAGCACTGCAGCTGTAAAATGCATCCAGTCCAGAAACTGCCTTGGTAACATGACTGATATCTCTATGGATCCAGTGGGTCCAACCAATGCTACAAGGGTCACAGTTCTCATTTTGAGGTGGGGTAAATTTGACCTCTTTAATAATTTCCTCCTTTCTAGTAGGTTCAGGAGCATCCACTTCTGCTCCATTTGTAGAGTTCATGGAGGGAAAAAACTGAGGTAGGAAGAGTTGAAGGAAAACAAAAGAAGGTGTAACAGCCCCAGATCTTGTCCTGTATTCCCTTTGACCCTGCCAACCTTTTACTTTTACATTCCTGTGTATAACAGAATGCAGTAAGAAACAGAAATGGGTAAAGGGAACAAATCACAACAGGAAAAGAAAGAGAAGAATCCACATGTCATCTAATTTTGCCATTTTCCATGTGCTTGTTTTTCCTTTGCTGCAGTCCAACTTGTAAGAACCTGGGTCAGACACATAACAGAGTTTTTTATTTCCATCACCTGACTGACTCCCAGGGAGAACTTAAGCAATAGATCCCAGTTCTTGTTTTCTTTGAATTCTTTGGCACTCCCCAGGCTGCCATGGAGATCTGTAGTGAGGAGTCCCTGTCAGCCAAAGACAGCAGAGTTTGACTAAAATAAACTTTTTTTTTCCTTTCAGATCTCTCTCTCTTTCTGTCTCATTTTCAGCTGTTGCTCAGTTCCTTCCTGGCTATTCCTTCCCCATCTTCTTGCCAATTTCACTGGGAATCTATTGCATTTTCTGGGATTAATTTCTAATATCCTTTTTTACCTACTCAAAGCTGCTATTGACTATTGACAGGCCTCTGCAGCTGCAGCTCCATTCCAATATGTAAACTCATAAAATATCCTTTTGCTACACCTTACTGGTCAGACCAGGCTTTGCTGGTAATCACTGCAGCATCTCTGGAATGGATCATAGATATTGTTTAGCAGCTTATTTCAAAACAATTCTATATGAAGTCAAGATTATCATCTCTCTAAAAGTGATAGCATTTAGGTTTATTAGAATGAAGTTAGCTTTAATGGAAGTTGGCACAGGTACTGATATTACTTTTTCTTACTGAATTAAATGAAGCACTGGTAAGCTCAGAGAGTTTGCACTTAAGATTTTAAACAGGGGACGAAACCAAGTCTTGTTTGAAATCGTGGTAGAAAGAATAGAAAAGAGAGAAAACAAAGTTAGGAACCATCAAATAGCCTTCCTTTCCTCCCTCATTAAGGGGAAACTTTAAAATCCTGGTACAATTAAAAAAAACCTGACCATGCAGGCTGAACAGAATTTATTTCTAACACAGTGATTGACCTGCTTCTTGCTAGGCAGTTAGCCTGAAATGAACATTCTTTCCATGACTAAGATTTTAACAACATTGGTTGTTGAGGAGAGACCACCTTGAAGTGTTCTCACTTTACAGGGGCTTTCCACAGGCGGTAGGAGCTCTACAAGCTTTTCTGTCTTAACCAAACGCTGCTGCACAATTTACAGCAGAACAAGGAGGACAATGAGCAGATGACCTTGAGATAAATGCCTATGTATAGTACCTAGTGTAACCAGTGAAAATTACTGCCAGGGGACAGTCTTCAGATCAGAGTAGAAACTTGGACACAGAAAAAAGAGTAGGTGGCGCTTTTTCCAGACAATCAGATACTCCAGGAAATCCTGCTTTGGTGCCTTTTGTCACCTCTCAATTTATGGCCAAGCAATACTTCATCATAAACTTCAGCTGCACCAGGCTACTTCAGTAACTCTCCTCTTTCTGGACCTAGAAATATTCTCCTGATGCTGTTGTCTCCTTCAGGATCCATCAGCTACACAGTTCCCAAAAGTTTAGATATATGTTACATATAAGAGAACATTTCTGTCCTGTTCACCTCACTAACTACTAAGATATCATTAAATTGGTAGTCTTGAAGCTGCCATTACTTTTTCACAAATAAGCCTTAATGAAAGAAAAAAGAAACAGATGGACTTTCAGTACCATGTTCTCTGAACAAGTAGGGCAAAGTCACAAAGTCATGACATTTATTTTAAAATACCACACCTACAGATCATGGGTATTCTGAGTTAATGCCATTAGAAGGAGAACTGCTGAGGGAGGGAAGTGTTTGAGTTTCTATGCATTTACAAAGAGTATATATATTTTTATTTCTTATTATGTCAGTAAAGCTCAAACATCAGGAGCCCATAGCCTTGCTTGCAAGGCCAAGCCTTCTTTGTCTGGCACTTAACTCAGAAAACTGCACTTTCTCAGGGTTATGGTGCTCATTCAGGTCACATTTAATATATTTTTTTACTTTTTGAAAAAACTTTTTCTTCTTAAATGTTTTTACTATTTTGCTTATCCCACCTTTTCATCTTTACCATACAGACCCAGAATCAGCCACAGATGAAAATTCTTGAGTCTTGTGTAGTTTTGAATGTTTTCACATGCTTGTGTTCGTTGTGGACCACAATTATTTCAGTGTTCTCACCCAAACCTGTTTCAGTAAGAAGCTAATTTCTTTCAACTCTAAGTACCCACACTTCACTGAGAATAAAAATCATCATTCAGGGCAGGGATAGTATTTTCACTTTCTGTAGTCAATAAGCCTAGCTCATTTTGTTCTGTTTTCATTCTGGAATGGCCACAGTCTTGGTAGATCAGAAAACAAAAAGTTCATGGCCATGTTGGGTTTTCAGTTAGCCAACCTCACAAAACTGTTTATTGCTTAGTTTTTTGTGTCTTCCTCCTTTTTTTGGAAGGGTGGTGGTGGTGATAAAATGCTCCACCATCTTCTGAGACACTTGAAATAACTTGCCATCTTTGACACTTCCATTCTACTAATGTGGTTTTTTTTATCCACAAAAGTTATTTAACTTCTCCTACTGTGCAGATGACAAGGGAGTAGCCTGGTAACTGTTCTCAGATAATGTCTAAATGGGTGCTGACAACAATGAGCAGAGCCATTTTGATTTAAAAAATGCATCTAGAAAGGGTGAGGCTGTCCAGCTGCTATATAAGACCATGAATTTTGAACACTAAACTGGGAGTATGATTCAGTTAGTGCCTCTTGTGCCTCCCTTGAAATTGTACCCAAAAATATACTGTGTCAAAGAATAACCTCTAAAAGTTTGGTGAAGGCAGGAGTGGTAGGCATGTATTTTGCTCTCTCTATTTCCTTTTAAGCCAGTGATTAGCACTGCATGTTTGTGAGGACTTGCAGTCAACAGCTTCCTATGTGTATAAAAGTAATATAAAACTCCTAATTTTTATATTCACTGATTGAGTTCAGAAGCATCTAGCATACACAGCTTTGTGTGAAAACCCATGCAATGGGTCCCCCTAATTTAGAAAATGTTTCAACTTTTGTGGTCTTCTTTATTGCATCTTTCAGTCCTAATGAAGAAATGGTTATGTTTTAGATAAATTCTTTCCTAAAATTAATCATCAGTTTGTTGGATATGAAAAATCACATCATAGAAAGGATTGCTAAGAAGATTGTGGAAAACATCTGTTCAGCAAAGAAGATTGAGAGGCTAATGAAAACCCAAAGTGAACACTAAATAAGAAAATTTGGAATTAAAAGTTTTCAGGGTGAATCTTGAATTCTCTTGCCTTAAGCATTAGATAGCTTGCAACTCCAAAATTTCTATTCATGCAAATTTCTCAAAATTATATCAGACCCTGATAGTTCTTGCATGCATACAGATGAATTTTAACAGCTCTTTTTAGAAGAAGAGGAGTATTGCCTCGATACTTGAGATCCCGTTTGACATAAAATCAATAGAAAAGTTATTGCCAAGCTTGGCTTATTTGGAAACCTGCTGCAATGATCCATCTTCTGCTGGATCAACAATGGGCTTCGTTCCTGATTCCATTAAGAAAATTACATTGGCTCTGACTAGCTTCTGTTTCAGTGGTGGGACAAGCAAAGGAGGGGTAATTATTTACAGCATTAGAAATTCTGCTGCAGTTGCATCCAGGCGGTGAGGCTTTCTCTGAAGGGGAATACCTCGATGATGAAGAGACTTCATACACAAAAGCACTCTATGTGATACAAAGCTGCTTGTCATTTTTGTAGTCTTTGGGTGCTAGACAGCTTTCTCTGTGGTGTTATAAATGGAGGGAAATTTCAGTACCCGAGATATTTCAGTGCAGAACTGGGTTGTTTTGTGGGACCTTAGTGCTCTGACTCAGAAGAGTTGCCAATTCACAGAAGTAGTGGCTTAAGATGGTGGCTTTGCTCTTTTGCCAGATACCACAGCTCTCCTAGCAGAGATGGCAGGATGGACAGTGTGTCTTCCTAAGCCATGGCATTTCAGAGCTTGGTTTATTGACTTAGCCAATTAGTAGTTTTATTTTGATATACCGGTCTATAAACAGCAAGTTCCCAAGTGTCTGGCTCATAAAGCATATAGGATTAAGGTGCAGCAGCTGAAGTAGTCATTGTTTTCAGCTGTGGGGCTCTTTAGTTGCTACTGTTAAATGTGCCACTGGCTGTGAATCAGAGGCTGTGTGCCACAGGTTCCTGCACTCAGTGTTGTGTTAACACTGGCAATACTGTGGTGTCTCAGCTGGAGGGTGAGTTGTAACTTGGCAGACGTACTAAAACTCTTCCCCAGTGCTTGACAGGTCTAGTATGCCTAATAACTAAATTTGAAAGATTTAAAGATTGTCCTTACCTTTATTGGCTCAGTGAACCAATCTGATTATGGCCCATTCATTCTTGGGGTCAACAGGATGCAATGGAGTGATGAGCAAAGCTGTGTCATGTAGCAGAAGTGACTCAGTTCTGGGTCAGTGCTGGATGGTCTTGGATGTTGTCCCACAGTGTGGCAGGGGTGATATATTTATGAGAATATTTATGAGATATGTTTATAGATGCTGGATGTTCCTGAAGCTGCACTGTAATGCAAAATGAAAGCAAAGCAGTTGTTCTCCTATGTTGGGAAGTAGGGATGGTGCTGTTGCAATTCAAAATGGGCTGTACCTTTCTGAAGATGAATTAAACTATAATGAACTATTGAGTACATTATGATGGGACAGGAAACAGAGGAAATAGGGTCATCTTTGTAAGAGGAGCTCATTTTCATATGAGTTCAGGATATTTGTGGGTATTTATGCATGTGTAGAATTGTGAAAGTGAAAGGTGGGTGGATGCCAGAGAAGGGATAGTGAAAATTATCCAGACAAAGTTATATAATTGACTTGTGGAGGGAAGAATGCAAGAGAGAGTGATAAAAAAAATAAAGTTGCTTTGGATTGTTTTGCAAGTTGCAAGTACTGTTCTATGATTTTTATGTTGAGTTCAGAAGAGATGTGTTTGTGATCTGAGTGTTCCCTTCTAAGGTGTTCCTGGAGCAGGATAAGGGCTATATGACCACTTCATGGCAGCTGAAGGCATTTCCTAAATGGAAAAGTAATACTGGGAGCAGAGCTGATCAACATGTCTTAACACTGTGGACTGGCCTTCTTATTACTGCACTGGCACTGGCTTAGGCCACTTGTCCAGAGTGGCCCCAGTAACATCGTGTAGAATGTGGGTAAAATTATCTCTATCTGATACTATTTTCAGAAAAGAGCTTTGAGCAAGGATTCCTTTCTCAGTAGCCTTGCTCTAATCCATTTACAAAATAATAACACATACATTTAACTGTATTTTGCTATCTAGTTAACATAAGATATAAGAACAGTTTTTGGGAAAAAACGTTAAGGAAAAATATTTTAAAGAATTCTGCTGTAGTTTTTAAGTGACTCCTGGATACCTTGACTTCCATCAGACTTAATTTGAGTGAGGTACCTCAAAAATTCCCTTTTGGTATCTCTCTCTCTAGCTTTTGATGGCTGACAACCATCTTTAAAATTAGGGTGTATGGGACCATTTGTCTTTCTTCAAACTGCTTTTCAGAAGTGCAGCACAATTGAGAAACTTTTGCAGTCTAGATTTGAGGGTTATGGCATTTGCTCTGCAGTGAAATGTAAATGGCACGAGTAATCTGCATTTCTGGAACAGCACTTCTCTTCTGTCCCTTGCTTTGTGGGTGCACTGTAGTTTGCTAGGTGGAAAATCAGAGAGACAACACACAGATAAAGGTTTTCTTTCTTGACACAACCAAGAAACATTCAGGGTCAGACATTTACTTCTAGAACACACAATGTCAGTGTTGGCTTCAGGAGATCCAGAGACTTGTGCAGCTGCTTGATTGAACTGCACTTTTAAGAGCAAACAGAACACAACCATGTTTGTGGAAAGCACACTTTGGGGTAGCATGTCCAAAACCGGTGATAATTTAAGACCCATTTAAGAATCATTGGGAATGGTTGGATCTCTTCATCATTAGCACTAAGTTCTGCAGCAAAGATGACCTTACATGAGCTTGCTAGGCTGAACATCACTTGTTCTATATTAACACCCATTTTTGATCTTGCTATTTGCATTCACTGATTTCGTTTCCCACACGGATGCTATCACTGCTCTTTGGTACCGTGCAGAATCTTAATGCTAGAGACTCCATGGATTCCAATGTGCTCTTTCTATGTCTGATAACATTCTGTTGCCCTCTAGGATGAAATGGAAATACCTGGTGGCCCAGATTGGACGAATAGAAAGACCTTTCAAAATCACCCTGGTGTATTCACACTGTGGAGCACGGGAGGCTGCAGTACTGGCTGTGGGCTCCTTGCAGCTCAGGAGCTGCTTTCATGGTATGCTGCAACACAGGTTTGGAATAACCAATGCACCCTCAACGAAATGGATGAGGGTGATGAGGGATAAGACAGGATGTAGAAGAAAGATGAGTAACTCATAATTATAGAACTAATTTAAGTGACCCTCTCTGCTTTCCAGCTTTGCTTTGCTTGATCTTTTTATGGGAAAAAAAACCAAAAAACAACTGGACTTATGCTTGAATCCAACAACAAGGATGAAATAGTCCTTACCACGATTGTTTTAGCATTTAGTATTTTTCTCTCTTAAATAATCAAGAACAACAGTCTACCCTGTGTAACCAAAGCCTTTTCTATACTTGGGCTTTATCTAATGAATCTATGAAGAAACAAAACATTTATCTGCCCCCAGTGGGGTCTATTTGCTACTATCAGGCTGAGAATTTCAATCTAAAATGAAAATAATGTAATTCTTTTCTCTAAAGTACTGAGTGTTCAGCTAAGACTTATTTTAACCTGGAGCTTACAGTTTTGTTCTGAATGTCATGTAAATGATCCTCAGCAGCAGTGCAGAACCTTGCTAATGTCATTTAGGCTTCTTGGAAGTGCAAGAGTCTGTCAGCACATGCAGTCTTCAGGTTGGGGACATAATCATCTTCCTGAATTTCATTTATTAATATGATGTTATTGTTTCCATTTTGCAGACTCTGTAGAAATAGCTTGGAATGTAATGTAAAAAGAAAACACTATTGTGAGCATGGTTTTGATCATATTAGAGATTTAATAGTAATCATTATTCTTTTAATTTAACATACTATATTTTTAATGTAATATTTTTTTTGCAGTCCTAGAGTTTTGAGGGGATGCATACAGCCTGAAGCACTGGGCTCTCAGTCTCTATATAACCTGGTGCATATATCTGGCACAAAACTGTCATGAAAAAATACTTTTTCAAAGTGTGTACCAGGATCGTTGCAAAAGTGTTCTTCTCTCTTTCTCCCACAATTGATTCCCTAACTTTTACAATTTTTCCAGAGTAGTAACAATCCCAATGAAGCTTCTGTGCAGGGCTCTGCTAAAGGGCAGCAGGTCCATAACAGGCCTGGGCACTAATGCATCCATGGGACAGCCTGGATGCATTATGAGCCATGCTTTTGGGAAATATCACAATTAAAAGTCATGTTCAACCTGGCTGATGGGTACCTGTGCAGTCAGTCAAATGCTCCCAGACTAGAACTGACTAGACTAGTTAGGGTGCAGGAGTAAAATTCATGTACAGCAAGCCAACTTGCTGGGAAGCAGCTACCTCGTGGGCTGGATGCCAACAGCTGGAAGCTGGCACAGAAATGAGTCAGCAGCCCAAGTGCTGGATAAACTTGAGCCTCAGCAGGGCATAGCAATGTGTCTGTCAGGGCTGCAGATAAATGGGTGTTCCTGCCTCCAGCAGCAGGGTGCCATGCAGCATGCCACAGCTGCCTGGCAGGTGCACAGTCGTGTGTGCAGAACTGAGGAGCACATCACAGTAGGAAACTGCAAAGCCCTTCATTAAAAAAATTCCCAAAGTTATCTAAAGATAGCACAAATACAGCAAAAGCAGTACATGAGAAAGAAAAGAGCAATACATTTGGTCCAGGAATCTCATGCTGGATAGAAACCTACATGAAAAAAGCAGAGATTTATTGTACAAAGGACAAGGTCCTATGTGGGAAACCTAATACACATTCTGTCAACTCACCTCTGGATTTAGTTATCTTTTTTTTCCCCCATTAGATAAAGAAAATCAAGATCTTTTCATATATGACAAAGGCTCAACCTTCCCCTGCATTCATGGAGGCTGTGTCAGCCACCTGCAGATCTGTGAGTTCATCAGTGATTGCCCAACCAAAGCAGAGGAAGGAGTGAGGTGTGGTAAGTATGTGGCATGACACTTCGTGGGAACCTTCATTCCATTAGAAGAAATAATTGAAAATAAAAAATAAGTTAAGTTTATTCCATCTTTAGATTAATTCACTGTTTTAACTCCTGAATTAATTTGGCCCATTTGCATTAATTGAATACCAAGATTCTCTTTGAAAATTCATCCTATATAGAATGAAATGGTTTGGTTTTTTTTAATTGGTTTGATTTCTTAAGTATTGTAGTAAGGAGCTGAATGACCTTCCCTTCACAGTTACTGCTGCTTCAGAGAAAGGCAAAATCTTATTTACATGTCTGCAGCTGGGTGAGAATTTCCTTCTGGACCCAAGATCTAAACCTTCCCTTCAGGAAAATTTGTTAATCATCTTTCCATTCTTAGTTACCAACAGTGTCATAAATCTGTCCTTCCAAGATCTCAGTTCAGAGCTCTTGCACATCAGGACAGAAAAATCCCCTAACAGTATATGTGGTGCTGAGAAGCAATGTTTACTTTTCTTATAAGTACAGTGGTGAAGATTTAAAATAATCTGTTGATTTTCCTTCCTTTGAGTGGACACAAAACTTTGTGATGCCTGCAATTTCATATGTAGCATGACCTTTATAGATATGTGGCAGTGATTTGCCATTCCTGAGATTACAGGGGCTGCAGTTCTGCTCAGTATTTAGAGTAGGATAGCACAAAAAAAGTCTCAAATGTTTCCAGAAGCAAAGTATTGGCTTTCTTGACTCTGGAAATAAACAAATGAGACCTATTTTGACAGTGTAGCATAGTTTGGGCAACTCGGACAACCACAATGGATTTTCACTTTTGTTATTGTTTGTGTCCTCCCATAATCAAGTTGCTCCTATCTTCCTGCTTTTTCTCTTTTTTTGATTGTAGACAGTCTCCCAGAGGGTTCACACTGCTCTTTTGAAGAAGGTCTGTGTGGCTGGACACTGAATGAAACCACAGCATCTCCTTGGTCTATTCGGGGCTTTTCTGAAATGATTCAAGAGCACTCATTTGTAGGGTCTACTTTGCAAGCCACTGGTGGTAAGTTCTTCATTGCTCTCTCACCCTCTCTCTGTGTATGCATGTACACTTTAGTCTTGAATTTAAGTTTATTTGAATTGGTTTAAAATTTTTGGCATCATTGCCAAATGAACGTCAGCATCAGTATTATCTATAACAACTTCAAATGTAGATAAAATTAACTTTCTAACATACCTCAAAACTTTACACTAAACAAATTATGCAAAAAAGTTAACACAAAACTCTCAGAGGCAAGGATTCTCCTTCCCCTTTAAAAGATCATATAATGTATACTTCTTCCCTCCTCTTTCCTCTTATGAGCTATGCAGTTGCAGAGTACTCCAGCAGCAATATAACTGCTGCATCACAAGGTAAAAACAAATCTTTTGAAGACCCTTGACAAACTCTAGTGGGTTAGGAAGAGCATCACATGTAGGAATATCCCGAGTGACCATACAGATTCTGTGCCATGAAATGCCACAATAAAAAAAAAGTCATATAATCCCCAGAACTGCAGAACTGTCAACTTGTTAAATAAGAAGGGGGGAGGCCAGAACCTCACCTGTTCAGGCTGAAAGTCAGAAGTGTTAGCACACATGAGTCTGGCCTCACAGCTCCCTGCCAAAATGAAGGGTTTCCATACAAGTGTCCTGTTTGTCTCCCGAGAGCTCCCTGGAAACAGATTGCAAGTAAACTCTTCCAGCCCAGTGTTTGTCTCAGCAAGACTCATTGGTGCTAATGGTATAGGAATTAGGAGTGTAGATTGGTGTGTGCCTCTGTATGGGAAGGTCTTGAGTGGTATCTGAGGTTTATCCACTCACATTCCAAGAAAGGGTTTGGGATGTTGATTTTTGTGCTGCTGAAATTTACTGGTGTTTACTATAACCTCACCAACAGATCTGCTCTCAAGCCATGCTTACACCTACATATGCTCACATACCTACAGTAACATTAATGATGTGAAATTGTTGCAAGTGATTACACAAAAGAGCAAGAGATCATTTTGTCTTTTTCACGTTTGTGTTCACAGGGCACTTCCTCTACCTGCGAGCAGACAGCACTCAGACAAGTGGTGTGGCTAAGGCTTACAGTACCAGCTTGCCAGCCAGTCTTGCCACTGAAGGCTACCAGGTGTGTCACTCTGTCTTTGTGGAGTAAACCATCAGGCTGTAGGCACTATTTGCACAATTAGCCTGTTCTCCTGTCCCTCTGCACACTCTACACAACACTAGAAAGCAGAAGAGCTGGCTGTACTGCCTAGATGGCCACTTGTTCAGAACTGGAAAGGAGATGTGAGGTGCATCCCCAGTGAGTGAGGGCAGAAGCCCCAAATCAGCTGCTCCTTGTGGAAAACTCCCCAGCTGTACTAACTGTACCAGTTAGAAGGAGTTACTGCTCTGAGAGGTGCCCAGCAGCTAAATTGTATGAGGCAGCTGGGACTTGTAGAAAAGAGAGCTGTCTGGCTGGGCCATTGAGTCTTTAAGGATATCTGCTGCTGAGATTTTTCTTCATCAATTCTGCAATACTTGTGCAGGAGTTAATAAACTTGATAGTTTCACTGAGAACAGGAGTGTGAAGTAAGAAGGCATTCGATTTTCCAGAAATAGATGAATATAATAAGCTTCTGATCGCATTCTTCAGGAATTTCAAAAGGCTAATGCAACCTGGCCTTGATAAAATCACACAACTTGCCTTGCAGCTCTGAGATGCTGGAATAAAAAATATTAAATAATATTATAGTCATAACAAGTTTGAGCTGGAGTCCGGTCTTGCTAGGGGAAAAAGAGAAAGCTTTGATGCCTCCTAATTAGAGCTGGGAAAATAAATACAGTGCTGGTGCCAGAAATGTTGCTATGGCATTTATATTTATTTATAAATCCAGGTAAAATTTGTTGGGTATAAAACAAACAACAAAATAAAGTGTGATTTGGGATAGGTTCACAAAACCAGGAGAAGCAGTAGCTGTTGGTTATTTCATAGAGGCTACAGAAGATCTGGATCCATTCTCTCCTCCACGGGCAAGGATTTGAGACCACAATGCAGGATGAAGGAACTTCTGTTGTTGTTCTTTGCAGAACACGTGTGTGCTCCCTTTCCTGCTGATACTGGAGCTCTCTGTAGCACAAAGGGCAGCTGAGTATTCCAAGCAGTGGTAGAAATGGCAACTTTCTCTTGCTCTGTGGCAAAATGGAAGTGGCTGCTCCAAAGAAAGAGGAAAAAGTCTTGCTTCAACACATCCTTTGGCCTGATGATTTTGTTGGTCGCTTGTCTTAGGGGTGCTACAATTCAGGTGATGCCTATGATTTGGAACAGGTCGATGGATTTGAGGTTTCCTGCCTCTGGAGACAGTCCTTGTTTCAAAGGTATTCGGGGCAGGACAGCTCTCCCCTCAGAGAAGGCAACAACAAGGAAACCAGTCTTCTCACCCAGATGGTGCCAGAGGCTGTGGATATTGTCATCAGTGGCTGAGGAGCAGCTGCCCAACAGGAGAGTCAGTTCAGGTCTTCCCTGAGAAAATTCTGTGCTAGTAATGGTGCTGAGTCAAATACCATCAGTGAGTGGGGGCTTAGTGATTTCTCTCATTAAAGAGTTTGATCCAGACTCAGAGGTTTGGTGTCTCAAATTCCCGGGGAGGGAAGAAGTGACTACCTTTCCCTGTTGTCAGAGATCACCATTTCTTTCCTCTTCTTCCTCTGTTACAGATTCAATTTTCAGTGCATGTTTTTGGGAGCTACAATGGTACAGTCTCCTTCTCTCTCAGGGAAGAGATAAAGGGAGCTCCAATCACCTTGCCAATGTGGGAAAGGGCAGGGAGCTGGAGTGACCACTGGTTTCTCATCACCTTACCAATGCCAGTGCTTCAGAACCGGTAAGAGCACCACTGCCAGCAGCCAGGGTTATCTCTATAGATTGAGTAAATTGTTACTATCTTTATTGTGAAGTGTCACTTTCATTCCTGCCTTCTTTCAGGGCCGTTTTTAAGCGACTCTGCTTGCTCAGGAAGTATTCTGTCATAAGTGCACATCTTTGTGCACATGCACAGCTTAGCTCAACTCAAGCCCACACCATGTGACTGCACTTGTGTGCAGCCTCAAACAGTACTCAGGTTTTGGGAACAGCAAGCATCTGTACTAAAAACCTTTTAGCAATCTGAGCAAGCCAGTGTACTCAGAGGGGCAAAGTGCTCGCAGCAGGGAAGCAGCTGCATTAGCATAGCTGCACTTTGTACTCCCACAGCAAAAAGCACTCAGGTGGTGAGTCAAAGGGGTGGGAATCCCACAGTTTAGCCAATACAGCTGTCCAGTTTAGGATCTATATCAGTGCAGCCTGGGCAGCTGGACAGCCTTCGTTGCCACATTACTGATGCGAGGATTTGACAAAAAGACCCTTGCCCAGATGAGCCTTGCACCAAAGTTTTCATGGGTTTAGGTGTGGAAATACAGTGCAAGTGGTTTTCAAATGAAGTGAAGTATTGAAGATTTAAGGAATTTCAATGCAATCCAATTTTATTCAGGCATTTCTCCTCCCTTACCTAGTGTCACTCAATCTCAAGCCATGTAGCTGGTGTTTGGTAGCTGGTTATTTTGACAACATGGTCTGTTTCACATGAAACTTATTTAAAAAACCCCTCCAAGTCTATACAGTGAATATTATAAATGTTGTTCTACCCTCTTTCTAGTTTAATTTCCTGATTATTATCATGTGCTCACCATACATGTCTTTGCCATGAATGATTCCTTCAGGGTAGGATTGGTCTGCCTGCTAGCACTGTATTTAATGGTCTTGCCTGACACAATCTGAAGGCCTGTGGATTAGCATCTGTTTAGTTATGCATATGCAAAAGATGGCCAGTGAATTAATGCAGAAGAGCTCTTTTCTCTGGGTTCTCTACTGTGGACCTGTCTGCAGCAGAGACCAAGGAGCTCTTCAGAGATATTTAAGACCTTCTGCCTCCTCTGATATACAGTCCCTTATGCTTGTTCCCTGAGGCATCCAGTTTCTGTATTGGCCCTTAATTCTGAAGCCAAGTGGATCTTATGTGGCAGAAGAGAATGTGCAGCAAGACACCTTTTTTGAGGGCTAGCCAGAATGGCAAGAAAAAAATTGATACTCAAATGTTCAAATGCTGTGATGTTTGAGAAAGTTGAGCATTTAGGCAAAAATGAAAGATGTAGGTGGTCATGCATGTGTTTATTATTACAGTCTGCTTCAAGTAATTCTATCTTGTTTTACTTCATGTAACCTTTTTGTATGACATTTCAAATTTAAAACTGACTGGCACAACAGTGATGGCTGCTGTGGGTAAGGATGGAAATGTTCAGCTTAGAAGGCAAATCTGTACCACCTGTGCTAGCCAGGTGACTGGCAGAAGTAATAAGTTGCCATTTGCTGCATTGAGCTGTAACAGACACAGAACAGCACACACTTTGCTAGAGGGTGCTGCAGCTATTTCCCCATGGGGGGAAAACCTCTCTTTGTGCTCCCAGGACACGGGCTCCATCCCAGTCCTCCTGTCTTATTTCCATGCTCTACTCCTTCTGTCCTGTCTTTCCTGCTTCTGTGGGCACTTGGTGCCTTTCCTCCTTGTTTTCATATACTTGGTCTCTCTTTCTTTTGCTTCAGCTTCCCATTTAGGAACCCCTTTTATCTGTCTCGTGCCTCTGGTTTGTAATTTCCTTTTCTGAACTCCTCCCTGCTTCTTGTTTCCATCTCTCTTCCAGCAGCTGCTGTCTCTGTGTGTTGTTTTGTTTTGGTTTTTTTTAATTATCAAGTCTGAATCCCTTCCCTGCACTTCCCTTCTCCTCCTAGCTATCTCTCGTGTGCTTTCCTTTCAATGATCCCAGACCTGCAGTAAAGGTTTATTCCCAGTATTCCTGTTTGATGGGATATTTAATTCTCTCTGTAGATCTTGGCCCAAACCCCCTGCACACCAAGTCCAAGCCCCTCTGCTGTAAAATTCCCAGGGAGCTCCCAGCCTCTCTCCAGGATGGCACCGTGTTCACTCCGGATTCAGTTCAGGCAGCTTTTTTTTCCTCCTGTTTGGCCAGAATCAGCAACAGAAAGAAAGGCTGGGGAATAAAATGTTTATCCATTAATTTAGAAGGGCAGTTCTCACCTCATGTAGCTGAAACAGGAGCTGACATGGTTCATAATAACACTGTGTGGAAAGCACCATTTTGCCTGAGATTTTGAGATATCCAAGGAAGAGAAAACTGCCGGTTTAAAAAAAAATACCAGGAAATGTCAGAGATTTAAAAATTTCAAAGATATTTTCCTAAAATTTTAATTGATTCTCATTCACATGAAAAAAAAAAAAACCAACCTCATGTCTGCCATGTGACTCTCTTCCTCACAAATTTCAGATCCCACTTTCAATACCTAGCAGCACAGAGTGCTTAAAAAGTTACCAGCGTTTTTGAGCATGGTCAGAATCATGAATCCACGCATTGCCTCATCCTCAGCACTCACAAAATGTTTGACTGCTAGAAAAGTCACATCAAATCACCCAAAATAGAAAAGTTCAGCCTAAATTGCTTTAATGTTGATGAAGTTGAAAACAATTGTAAACAGAGGTGCGTGATGAACATTGCTGGACAATTTTATGACAGTTTGGTATAAAACTTCATGAATGACTATTCTGTGTATTTATGGGTGTTGTCAGCTTTCCTTGGTGCAATGCAAGCTCTAGCAAAGCTATGCTTAGGGTAATTTTTTAGTGCAAAGTTTGAGCTGGCATGCTGTTTTTCTGTGTCCCAAATCTTCAGGAAACTTCTGTCCTTCTCTTGCAATAGGAAAATGCTGTACTTTCCCCTGGTTCCTTAAGGGGATGATAGGCAGTAGTAAAGCGGGTAGGAAGGGGACAAATCACACAGGGAGAAAAGTAGGCATTAATTGAAATACAAGAATTTGCAGGCCATGAACTTCATGATGGAGTCAGAAGTAGAGAAACCTTAGCAAAAAGTAAAAGGAGGACATGAAGGTTCTATTCAGGTAGTTTTTAGCAAGACCTTTGTTTAATGAATTTATTTCTTAGGAGAGAGGGAAGCTACTTTGAAAAGCTGCTTCTGGTGGTTGGCTGGCAAATTCACTTACTTGGCTCACACACACAAGGAAAAATAATGCTATCAGGAGAAAACCAAACAGGCACAAGACCAGACAACAGAGAGCTGAAGAACATAATTTGTTGGAGTCAGCAAAATGAGATCAATGAACAGGAACACTGGAAACCCCTCTGGCTAACACAGCACTGAGTTCAAAAGGCAAATTCCTGCCCTTCTTCTGAAGTTAAGAGGAAGGGGAGGCATACAGAGCCTAGAGGTTATGAAAAGTCAATTCTCATGCACTGACTGGGGGAGGTCATTCCTCAAGGTCCCCCTTGCACTGGGCTGGAGCAGAAACCTCCCTGGTAGTGCAGTGGCAGGGACCTCGTCTGCTGTGCCTCCATGGAGCAGACACAGCAGACTGACCTGACCAAGGATATGATGCCATGTGAGTGCCTCAAGTCAGGGACAGGACATGGTGCTGTATCTGTGCCTGTGGGTCCTGTAAGTGTTCTGGTTCTGGGCTCAGGGTGCTCTGACTCTCTTCCATCAGATAGATGGACGATTATTTGTCAGTGGACTTATACACGAGGTTTGAAAATGCTCTTGCTAAGCCTGCTATTGAAGAGGAGGATCCCCTTCTGTAGGAAGGGGATCTAATGGAAAATTCCCCCACTAACACCACAGCTAAGAGGTCATTCGAGAGACCCTTGATTTGCATTTGCTGCACTTACTCCCAGAATGCTCAGATCCTGAAGGTGTGGATGCTTTCCTTTAAGCACAAGGGGTCATTCTCGAGTTGGGGTAAAAGCAATTTATCCCTAAAGATTTGTATGCAACTCTGCAAGTAACTGTGGATATCAACCAACATTTGGTTGGTGGGTGGAATGCACAGATGTATTTTATTGCCACTAATTTGGGACAAGTGTGTTTCTAGGCTGAATGATTAATGTGTTAGGCAGGTCAGTGCTTGATCTCTCATAAATCATCATTGAGCTTTACCAGAGACAGCAATAGAGGTCCTGTCCATATGCTTTTAATAAACTCTAAACGGACTGGACATCAGACATCTGTTTGTTTCTGAAATGTAATGAAAAACAATTCAGTCCTATCCATTAGAAGGAGATCCCTCAGCTCATTTTCTTTCTTCCTTGTGAATTCAGAAGGTAGCAATACACATGGGATGTGACAGAGCTCCTAGATGAGCAACACCTGGTCATGCTGGAAAAAGATGAGACAGCCGAGGCAGCAAACTCTTCAAGGAATTATGGCTGAAATTTATAATGTTCTACCCTTCTGCAATAAACTCTTGTCACTTTCTGAGTTACTCTGGCTAAGGATCAGGCCCAAGACATTTGGATATTTTGCTCAGTTTTTACTCTATCTTTACAGGGGTAGAAAGGAGGAGATATTTTTTCCCTCAGTCTAATTCCCTGACTGCTTCTGGTAATTGAATATGAATGGTTGGTTGTATATAACAAATAGTGGGGGCAGTTGTTTGTATGTATGTGCAGATAGCAGGGCAAGAAGGGCTCTCATTCTTCTCCATGAAATGTGAAATTGTATGAATGTTGTGGTGCTTACAAGGGGTTGATATGTGTCTAAGACCTATAGTAAACCCTGTTGGACTTGTCTGGAGGAAAAATTGTAAATAGTGATGATCTTTTTTCCATGGTAAGGGAACATTGTATTTTTAGGGAGGCTGTTTGTTTGTTTGTTTTGTTTTGTTTCCTCCTCTCCTTCATCCTTTGTTGGTCTTCTCTAAAACATCTCTCTTTTTCCAAAGGTTTCAGCTTGAACTCCTGGCAACCTGGGGCTGGAATTCCCAAGCTGACATTGCTATTGACAACATTACATTTGGCCTGGACTGCATCACTGATGGTGAGCTACAAATGTTGCAGAATCCCCCCCAAAATTTGGGTAGTGTAATCAGCATCCCACAGATCTAGGATGCATGTTCTGTTCTCCTCACAGAGTGTGCAGGGATCACTTCTGTCAGCTTTTTCAGCTCAATGCCATTTTATCTCAGACCTACTGAAGATTGCAAGTAGAGGCAGTTTTACTCTGCGTCAGAGTCTCCCAGTGTTCCTTTTATTTTCTTCTCTAAGATGGGATATTCTGTATCACATAGTTAAGACCTGTCTGTGTGTCTTGGCAAGTAAAACTAGAATTATTCCTCATCCCTAAATGGAAGGATTACATCACAGTTTTTCCACGGTCCCTGTTGATCCATGCACCCTGGTAATTGATAGCTGAAACAAAGTTGTTGAAATCGAAGGGGAAAGTCACCATATTTTTGTGGAGGAAAGGAATTAAATTAAGGAGTAAATTGACTCTCTGACACTAAAATTTAGATGACTCCAACAAGTTTGTTTTTTTAGTCTGTAAGGAGGCATATCAGCTCTCACTGCCAGATATATAACAGCTTTCCTTTGCTTCATTACTGTGAACGTGACTGACAACTATTCCAGAGAAAAATGGAACCAGTGCTACCCTTTGAAACATGTTAGCTTGAGTTGTAGTGGATTTTCTTGGCAGACAAGGGGAAAGAAGTTGAATTGAACTACTTGCAAATATTGGAAACTGCCTTCTTTTGTCCCTGGGGACAAGACACGCTCTGTTGCAAAGGACCTGGAAGATGTGCAGGACTTGAATGGTGACTTCTGTTGCAGACAAAATGTGGATTGGTGATACTGTGCCACTCTACTTGTCACCACAGCCAGTATGCCAGCATTTAGGGTAAAAGCATGTCCCTGCAGTGGCTAGCTGTAGCCTAACATAACATATGGGAAGGCTTATGTTAAAATAGATATGTTAAAAGCTCAACAGAAGCCACTATTCCTTCCCATCCTTTTCTGGTTCAGTGTCCTGTTCTCTGTCCCTTTGTTCTGTGGGCACTGAAACCACACTTCTATAAAATGCTGAGCATGCAGTTTCACTTGAAATTAAGAGGAAAATCTGATCCTTTATGACAATTTCATTTTTTCACTCCAGCTCCTTAACAACCCTCTCTCCCCAAAAGTTTGAAACCTCCATGCTAACAGTTTGTTTTGAAATCTTGAGGGAACTAAGGGAGTGACTCCAGATGCACTTGTGCCAGCTGATGTGCACCCAGCTGCTGGAGTTCACTGCCCTCATGGGAGCAGGTGGATTCTCCAGTTTACCCACAGACATTTTGCTGGGAGTGGTGTAGCTACACATCCTTTGGCAAACAGGTGGGGTATAAATGCCCCTGCTGCAATGTTATCATTGCTGTCCATTAGACTGCCCAAGTTACTCCTTGTTTTCAATTGGGATAAATGGCACTGATGTCCAGGAGCACCTGGCACTTACCCCATCTGAAGGCATGCCCCAGAGATGTGTGAGTCATGCAGAAGAGGCACATCATGAGGGAAAGGTTTCCTGGAAGCCTTGCACTTGCCACTGTTCCTTGAATCCTCTTTGCAAATTGACGTTTTCTCGCCTCTGAAAGCAGCCCCCTTGTATTTGTCTTCTCATGACTTTAATTCAGTTAGGTTGCAGAGAAGCCCAGCAGCTCTGCTGTGTTTTAGTAATGAAATTACTTCTCCCTGGCAAGGACAGGTTTCAGATGTCAGAGACAGAGCCAATTACAATCCAAGCAGTGACTTCTTTTCATGAGGGCAGCAGGAAGGATGTATGGCAGGAAGGAAGGATTTGCAGCTTGCTAGGATGTAAATATTATTTTCTCCATCTATTTCAATCTTGTAGTTCAACTCTCTACAAAACCCAGTGCTGAGTGAAAGCACTGTTTTTGTATGCAAGATGGGAAAGGTGAGGTTTTCCATATACCTCCAAACTGAGAGGAAAGTTTCAGTAAGATTAAAGAGAACAACTGAATAGTGAGGGCAGCTCAAGAGACATCAATAAAGACAAAACCCAAACAGATCATTCTTTAGATGGCAGCTCCTGGGCATTGACAGATGTTTTTCCCTGTGGAAAAGGTGGGGCAAAACCACATTTTGGCTTATGCAATTGCCTTGTGTAAGACAGTGTCACAGACTGGATGGCATGTCTGGTTCTTTGTGAGAACTTCAGGCAGACAGGCATAAGGTTATTCATAGTTTCAGTGAACTAGTGCTTATATAGGAAGAGGCCAGAATTTTGAGTGTCTTAACATGAAAATGTGGACAGGCACAGCAAATAGAATGCTGATAGTTGAGTTGCCCTTCTCACTGCCTTTACTATTATCTTTTGGTGCTCTAAGTATTGTATTGTTCCAAGATCACAGGCCTGTGGTCTACCAAACTCTACTGCCCTGCCTAGAAATTGCATTTCAGTCTGTGCATCATTTTCAATTTCCCAGAAGACTGCTTTACAAATGGCAAGGCTGTCCAAAGAGAGCTTTTGTATAGATTATCTCTACTTCTTGATTTTAGCGTCCCTGACCCAGCAAAGCCTGATTTCCAGGAGTACTGCAACCAGCACCAGTAAGGTGGGATCTCTGAGACCATTCACACCCTGAGGATCCTGTGAGGCATCTTACTCAGAGACATTGAAGCAGTGAAGGAATGACTTACTTTAGCTCTCTGCCTGCAGAAAATGCCCTCTCTTTCTCCATTACACTTCCCTCTGTCTCTTTTCAATGGGGAAATCAGTGTTAGCTAAAACCTGGAGAAAGGAAGTCTGTGCTCTTTGCATTTTTTTTTTTAAATATAGATATACCTTAATATTAATTAATTCTTGTTCCCTTCCATTCACTCTACATTCAACATGTTGGCTGTTAGAAGAGGAAGTGGAAATTAGAATAGACTGAAGCACCTGGGTCCCAGGGCTACACTAGGTTTGTAGAAAATGCCACCTTACAAGTTCACGTTTGACAGTGCATAAAACATCAGCCTTTAAAGCATGCACAGCTCATGTGGACAGGGCTAAGCTCAGCCTGTGTTGCAGCTGATCTGCTGCTTAGTCCAGAGGAGACACAAAGTTTCTTCTGCAGAGCAAGGGCTTGACGCAGTTTGGAGAAGGAGGAAGGACTATTTGTTTGGAAACGAGGCATTTGCCCTAGGATGCTCAGTTGGGATGTCACATAAAGATCCCTGCAGACACACAGAACAGCTCTCTGTTTCAGAGAGTGATTTACATTCCTTTGCTCTGGCAAACATAACCAGACTTCTTGTACATCACTAAGTATCTGAAACTGTTGTGACCTTTAGAATTTGTAATTCAGTGCAGGCCTCGGGGAGCATCTTTTCTGGCCATGCATTGTATTTTTCATTCTGTTTTCCTCCTTGCATTTGATTAATTTCATTTGTTTTGGGTTAATTTCATTTTTCACTGGCTTGACAACTTCATCCATTGAAGTTTTTTATCTCAGTATGAGCAGAGTGTGCCAGTACAAAGCTTTCTTTCACTTGCATGCATCAATGTGCTTTCAGTCAGACCTGGGGGGAATATTCTCAGGAGTAAAAGCTCAGCAAGGTCTCCATGCTTCAATTAGTTATTTGGCCTTTCTGACACAGCTAACAAGAGTGTTAATTATTGCTATTTCGAGCAGTGGCTTTGTGGCAGAGATAATTGTCCATCTGGAACTGAGTGAGTCTCTTTTCAGTAGAGCATCAGACAGCTGTTAGATTCTCACAGCTGGAATAAATTGAAATATTTGTAATGTTTTTCAACTGATGAAAAATGTTCAGTATTAAATTAACTGAGGGTTCACAAAATGGAAAGAAGCCTGTTCTTTTTCTTAGAGATTTTCCAATCAAAAATCAGCATAAAAATGAGTAATTTAACTATTGAAACAGGATGCTTGTAGATTATGAGGGAAGGGTTCATTATTACTTTTTCCTGTTGTAAGGCAACATTGGTGCTGTGGTGTTCTCTATGCATTCAGATGCTTTGGATCACTAATTGATTTGAAATTCCTCCTCTCTGAGGAAGGGCTGCTTTTCAAAGGCTTATCTCAGTGGTTAGAAATGTATAGTTTTGCTCTGTGGTTTACAGAAAGGTTTGTCCACAGCTTATGTCCAGGGTGTGTTTCTGTTTCTTAACTGTGTATGTTAGTGAGACATGTAATTTTATTTAGTTATTTATTCTCTAAGTGAGCTCTCAGGTGCTCAAAGTTGGCTGGTGAGAGGTGTGTGAATGATCTGTTAAGCTGGGTTACTTGCCATGACACTATTCAGAACCAAAGACAATGATTCTTGTCACCATTCTCCTTTACAACTCCAGTAAGTTGACTGTCCAGAACTGTCACTTGCCTGTTTGACCAGCAGAACATCAATACCTGGTATCTGTTCTCCCACACTACATTTTTCCTAAAATCTCTTGTAATCGCAGCTAGAAGAAATTGCAGACCAAGGAGCTTATCCTGCATGGGATAACACGGAGGGTGTGTGTTCAAGTGCAGACCCACTGCCTTCAGGACAGATACAAACAAGTAGCTAACCTAAGACATGGTCTCAAAAACCTAATACAAAATTATTGTTGTTCAAAACACCTTTTCTACCCAAGGTAATATTTACCTATCTTAACCAAATGGTTGCACTTAATTAATTCACTTAATCTTTGAATTTTCCATCCCTCTTTTCTACCATCTTCCCACCTCTTTCCTCTATTCTACAAACTATTACAGGAAGACAACCGAGTCATTTTGTTGGGAAACGCCAGTTCCCACGTGAGATTGGCATCCTGGCTGAGCATCTTCTGAAACCCCTGGAAGAGCCCTCCCTCCCAGGTACATGATTCAGTACTCAAACCTGGCTCTTGGCTATGAAAGGTGGCTCCCTCCCTGCCTCCTGTGTGTGTGATCTGCCTGCCCTACAGCAATGAGACAACTATATATAATCCATGCCAGAGATGTGCAGACTGTGTCAGGTTGTCTCTGGCTATAGGGAAGGGGTTTGCTGGAGCCCAGCCCACCAGCCCTGAAATGGCAGGTCCTCTCTAAAGAAAAGCAGAATCTCTTCAAGTGAAAGCAGAAGCTGCATGACTCAGATTCAGCATGCACAGAAAGGCAGCTTAGGAACAAAAGGTATAGACCTGTACAGAAAGTTGGGAATAGAAAGTGTGCTGAGCACTGAAGCTGAATAAAATGAGTGTAGAATAGTGGTGTAAAGATGAAAATCCAGAGAGAAATAACTGAAGATTAGGAAATCCACTGAAGAGAAAAATTGGATGAAAAAGTAGGAGAACAGGGACTACTGGGGACTAATTTACTGATAGAGATTGCCACTCTGGAGGACAGATAAGAATTGTGTGCCTGAGAAGAGCTTTCTAAAGGAGGAGGATAGGTTTTCTTGAGGCTTTTTTGTGGCCAGCAAATACCAGTGTGTGACTGTACTATCTTCTGAAGGCCATGTCCACCTGGAATGTGACAATCTGTACTGCTGTCTGCTCCCATTAGCTCAGGGGAATGCTGTAATGCAGCTGAAACTCATACTGCATTGATCCTCTGCATGTTCACAGGATGATGTCTGTTGGGGATAGTTCTGCTTGCCTTTTCCTTTGAAAAAGATTGGAGTTTTTATTTTAAAAGTTTGTAAGTTTTACCTCTATTTTAATCATTCAGCCCTTAAACAGTTCTACTTTTTACCCTGGGTTTTGTGCACAAACTACATCACACAGTATTTAGATACGTTACTGAAAATATTTATACTTAGGCCCCATCTAAGTCAGTGGAGAATGGATTTTTTGGGGTCTTAGAAAATGGTTGTGAAATGGAGGACATCCTTATCTGCTGCAGTGTTGTGGAAACAAAAGAATAATTCTTAATGAGAACCAGGAAAGAAATTGCTTGGGGGAGAAGGGTCCCTACAGATGGAAGCAAGAGGCTCTCCCCTGGCTGTTTCTGCTGCCACAGGCTTCTTGTGCAAGCTGAGACAAGTCCCTTAGAACTTTCACTGTGTTTCATAATTGGTCACGAATTGTAACAACAGATGTTTTCAACCCCTCTCCGTGTACATGGTTTAGTTATTATTTTGGAAAGTTGAACATTGATCACGTCTGTGAGACACTTGGATAAACCCCTCCTTAGAAATTTGGTCCCTCTTCCCTTTACCTTTCTGCCCTCACACCCAGTTGATAAAGTTTGTCTTCAGCCCATGATTTATCAAATAGTGTGCAGGAAATAAGGTGAGAGAGGAGAAAAGCAGTGACCATAACAAAGCAGTAGCTGTGCTATGACTAGAAGAAAGTGGGTATAATATAAGTAGTGAGAAATACAGAGAAGCTCAACTCTTGCTGTTTCGGTCGCAGGGGACACAGCTGTTGTTCTGTGGTGGTTCTCAACCTGTGGTGCCAGTGGTCCTCATGGGCCCACCCAAGCTCAGTGTGACAGTGCCTACAAGAACAGCAATGTGTCCGTGACTGTGGAGAAGGAGGGCAGGCTCCGGGGAGTGCAAGTCTGGAGAGTGCCAGCCACAAACAGATACAGGTGAGGATCACTGTGTGCTGGGGGCAGCCACCTCTGACTGCTTTTTGTTCCTGGGGTTTCAACAAGCACAGGTGTGGGACCACCTGCACTAAGTGGGTGGAGGGGACATGCTATTTGCTCCTGCAGCCTCTGTTTCCAGTATCCAGGTGAGGGCTGGTCTGTCCTCTTGTGCATCCTACCTACATGGATCTCAGACAAGGAATAGCCACAAGCTGCTACAGCAGGGGAGCCTGCTCTGGAGAAATATCAGAAATACTTCTGTTTGGAAGTGAAGGCTGGGGGAGACCTTGCAGATGGATTTACTTTGGGGATGAGAAGTGTGAGAGTTGTTTCTTCATTTATTTACTTTGTCTTGCAGGATTTCTGCCTATGGAGCAGCCGGGGGGAAAGGAGCCAAAAACCACAATAAGAGGTCCCACGGGGTCTTCATCTCAGCCACCTTCCACCTGGAGAAAGATGAGCTGCTGTACATCTTAGTGGGGCAGCAGGGGGAGGATGCCTGCCCTGGGGTGAGGGCCATGAAGCACATGTGGGCAGAGACCCTTGCAGATACTATTCCGTGGGTGGCTTGGGTTTTGGTGATAAAAAATAGAAATCCCAGGCTCCAGCAATGAAATCCAGTCAGGAGACAGGAAAGAACCAATAAAAGAAGTTAGAAATAATTTCAAAACACATATAAGGCAAAGAAAAACAATCCCAAAATGCACAAACAAATATGAAGCCCACAGAAACTTTTCTTTAACCTCCTGGTGTTTGAAGTAAATTCTTAATCAGCTCTCTTTTGCTTATTTTAAGCAGGAAGCTCATAGGCATGTAATGTGCTCCCTCTCTTGTTTTTCCATAGTCTAGGGTTTTTTTCTGTCTGCCAGAATTTTCAGAAAATTTACTATCATTTATGGAAGCATCCAGCAGTGTTGTGGCTGCACTGTTACATTCTCTCTAAGCTTAGAGACTAAAGTCTGAATCCAAAGCCTACCAAAACCAATAAGAATCTTCCCACTAACTCCAGCAGCCCCTGGATCAGGTTTTAGTGATGACAAAAAAAACAGAACAAATGATCTGAAAGTTCTTTTGTCACTTATGTTCAAAAACTGCCTCTTTTCAGCATCAGTTTTTGATTCTGCCTTGTTCCAGAGGTGCTGTTAAACCCTGCCCAGGAACAAAGCCGTTTTTTCCCACAGACTGGTGTGTTTGGGGATGCATAAACTATTCCTGGATGCTACTTGGAAGTTACTGTTTACCTTCCCACAGGATATGATATCTTACCCAGATACTGCAATAGACTCTAAACCCACCTTTTCTTTACTTTATATAATACAAGAATAGTATATATTTAAATAAAAGATACATTTGTGTATCTGCAGGTCCCTTTTCAGTGCACTCTCTTGTCTTAGGTCATAATCTGAAAAGCTGTCCATTAATCCCTTGCATTTCCTAATTTGTTCTCCAAATTTCAAATTTTAACTCAGCACTATCTCCCTTTGGCAGGTGCTACTGGAAAAAGTTGCAGTTAATTTTTCCCATTTCCAAAGCCTAACTCTCTTTGGCTTTGGAAATCGTGATAAATCTGTATATTGTGTGACTAGTGTTTGTTTTTCTTTCTCTGAAGAAGTTCTGCAGCTCCAAACTTTGATTCTCTCTCTTCAGATTTACCCCAGTTGCTTTTCCCTGGTCTTCATCTGCCTTGCCATCTTTTGTTCTCTTGTTTGAACTAACCAGACAAATTGCTCCACCAACTAAGAAAGGCCAGGCACCATCTCTAACAGAATTGAGACAGAGCTCTCCCGCTGTCAATTTTCAATCAGTCTCAGTCTCAGTCTTGGTATGAGATGGAATGGGCAGAAAATGGAACATATTCCACCTGAATGTGATGAAGAACTTCTTTGCTGTGAGGGAACAGAGAACTGGAACAGATTTCCCAGAGACACTGTAGTGTCTCCTTGTCTGGAGATAGTCCAAAGCCATCTGGGCACAATCCTGAGTTACACGCTCCAGGGAAGTCTGCCTGAGCAGGGAGGTTGGGCTGACTAGATGACCTCCAGTGGTCACTTCCTTCCCCACTCTGTGATTCTGCATGAATGAAAGGACACAGGCAGTAAAACTGGTGCAGAAATAGGAAACTGGGTCTCCAAATTACTCTTCTAAAGTGTATCAACAGATTATTCTCAACTGTGTGTGGGTCATCCTTGCTTTATGCATTTATGGCCTTGAGAAACAATTAGTAAATGTGTCAGTAAGCAAGTTCTCAGAGCTAATCAATAACCAAAGATGTTTAAATGGTTCCGGTTATAAGAAGTTTTAAATATGCAAAGTATTAGTTCTGTAAAGTTAACAATGAGTTATTACATTTTTTTCCTGTATGCATCTTACATTTTATTTGCATATGTAAAGTGAGTTTGCAAATCAGAAGTTACAGACAGATCTATCCCTCAGCTGTCAGTCCTAATAGAAAAGGTCACTTTCTACAAAGATAATCTACCTACTGGATTATGTATGTACAATATGCATGACAAGCATTATGACAATCTTATATGAAATACACAGACAAGTCTCAAGGATTGGATTTTGCTGATATCTGAGTCCATTTCTTGTCTCCTTTCAGGGCAATCCTGAAACCCAGAAGATCTGCTTAGGGGAGTCATCTCTCATTGAAGAAGATTACAAAAAAAAAAGAGACCTGAAGGAATGGGCTGGAGGAGGTGGGGGTGGAGGAGGAGCAACCTACATCTTTAGAGTAAGCATTTCCTCTTTGCATCCTGCCTGAGCAGTGTCCAGCAGAGCAACTAGCTCTCACTGTCACTCATGGCATATGATGAATAGTACTTTTACAAAATATTACGAAAAACGGATCTTCCTCTTCTGCCTCTTTCTCCCTCTCCTCTTTCTGTCTCTCTTTGGTTTTGTCTTTTTAGTTGCTTATCTCTTTTCATATCCTTGTTCATATTTATCACTTTCACCAGGCTAGCTGAACTGGATCCTCAGTCCTTAACAGCTCAGATGTGGGAATTACACCAGGATCCCACTTTAATGCTGGCAGCAGTCCTAAAAAAAAGTGAATCACAAAACCTTGATGCTCAGTTAAACAGTTACTTTTGTACTCAGGAACATGATGTGAAATATTTTTGTAATGATTCTATGAGACAAGCAGTAGCATTGCCCTGGCCTTAGGCCACTCCTCTTTGGGATGCTTTCGTGATCTTTGATAAGTTTGTGTGAGTTCACATATTCAAGGGATGTGAAGTTTTTCTGATGTTCGATGGGGGGTTTTCCAGCAGAAGGATGGGATTTTCGAACCTTTGCTCATCGCAGCAGGAGGAGGAGGAAAAGCCTACCTGATGGCTCAGGACAACTCCCTGGATGATGTACCCCTGGAGCAATTTGAGAACAGCACTGCAGTACCTGGAGTCAGTGGGAGGACTGGGGCAGCAGGTGAGACACTAAAACCACACGAGGTCTGAGTCAGGTGCCTGAATACACTCATTGTCCTGTAGGCAATGTAGAAGTGAAGGGCTTCTTTTCCAGTCTTTTGGATTTTTTCTGTGTCAGTAATTTTTAGAAATATGCTGGTAGTCTGTAAGGGATGTCTTCTTATATGTTATGTCACCAGATAAAAAGAGAATGCACAAGACAGGTGATGAGTGATCCAGTAGAGGCAAATCCATAGGAGGACTCCTGTGTTCTATGAAATGAAGCAGGGAAATGGTGTTTGGGGGATGGAGCCCACTCCTTCACACTGTAACAATGGTCTTTGAAGAGAAGAGTTTTTTCCTCTTACTCCCCTTAAACCCTAACAACAACAATTCTCTTAGGGGAATTATACCAGAAATGGAAGCTTACTTATAATCTTGTGATGGCTGTGCCTAGCATCTATTCCTAGGAGATAAAAAAAATCTGGTGGTTGTCCATCTCCTGCTGTAGCAGGCTTACAGAGGGGCCACTAAAGTGAGATGTATAAATCAAATTTATTTTTATTTCCCTGGGGAACTCAGCATCTTACATGGCTGACTGCCCTAACCTGTTATCCTGAAGGGGAATGGTAGGCTCCTTATTTTCTTAGCACCACAAGAAATCAGTGCTGAGGTGTTGGTTTATGCAGCACATACCACAGGCTGTGCATTAGATTTCCTGTGCATTAGATTTCCTGTTTGCTATTGCCCATGGCAGCAAGGAGCTTGTCTGTATATTCTCTTAAAGAAAGGTTTACCTTGAGCTAGGTACTTAAGAAATTAATAAGGGCTCATCTCTGTCTCCCTGCAAAGCATCTCTGCTTGTGCTTCTCTCACTCTTCTTGTTTGCTTTTCTCACTTTCTGACTGAAGGTGGAGGTGGCGGCTGGCAAGATGAGAGTCTGCTTCCTCAGGCTGGGAAATCACTTCTGGAGGGTGGAGAAGGAGGTCAAGCTTGTCCCCAAGCCCTAGCCAAGCTCCAGTGGACCACCTCTGGTGGTTTTGGTGGAGGAGGAGGAGCTTGTACTTCTGGGGGAGGAGGAGGAGGGTACAGAGGTAAGCCTGCGGGGGAAATAGTCATGGTGACCAATTCTGTACCTTCAGAGCACCTGCAGGTCAGGGAGAGTGCTCTGAGTGCAGAGGTGCACTGCTGCAGGAGTGAGGCACAGATACTTCAGGCTGAACAGTATGAAACCTGCTCTCCACCACCCCTCTGTAATTGAGGAAATCAAGGTTATAAAAGCGTTCCTGTGTGATTTAATATTTGGAAGGTGTGACGAATCACCCCTTCATCCATTCCCAAGTTACCCATGGAAGATGTTCCATTTCTTCTTTCTGTTTGAAACAAATGCATTTTTACCTTGCTGAACTGAGAAACCTACATTAGATAAAGTCACTTCTCTAAGCTTGGTACTGACTGGGTCAAGTGAGGGTTTGACATTTTACGATCCAATATCACTGGAAGGTTGCAGAGTGATAATGGGGATGAATGCAACCTTTCAGAGACATCACATTTTTTTTGCAGCATGTAGCACTGATCAGCGAGCCATACTCTTCTCTCCCCAGGGGGACATGCCTCTGATAGTGATGATATCACAGCTGGTGGGCAGGATGGCATCTCTTTCGTGAACCCCATAGGAGAGATCTTCTTGCATCCCTTGGCAGGTACAATATGGTTCTTATTCTCATTTCTTTTCTTCCTCCTTTTTCCTTCTTCCTCTCTGTTTCCTCTTTCCTCCTCCTTGTTCTCGTCTTTGTTTTCTATTCATTTCATTAAAGCTTATTTCACGCTGCAGGTCAGACCTTTAGCTGTGGTCATTTATTTAAATGACTTCCATAGTGCTCTGGGACCTTTTTTCTCTCAGTCTCTAAACCAGGAGAGACACCAGTCATCAGTTTCAACTGTACATCCTCAGTCCCTGACTTTTCCAGGTCAATTCACTTCAAGGCCTCTCTATTTGCAATTATTTTTTACCCTATTGATCCCCATCAGACTTCTGACATGTCCACGCTGTGTTGGACTACCTGCTCTGCTGCAGAGAGGGAGAGAAGTTGTAGGTACCTGCTGGGCTTTGTTTTGTTCGGTTTTTTTACCTCACTGGAACAAGATAGGAAAAACTGAGCAAAGCCCACCTGTTGTGTCTGATTCCTTGTTCAGCTGTGGAGAGCCATGGCGAGGTGGAGGTTCAGATCTATCTTAACTGCAGCCACTGCCACTCAGACAGCTGCAAGCGGGACCCTGACACCAACCTGCCAGTCTGCCAGTGTGAGATGGGGGCTGTGCTGGCCAACGACAATGTCACCTGCACTGGTAAGCTAAGAGGTTTTAGCCTCATTGGATAACATCTCTTTATCCTTTATATCATATCTGCTTCTGGCTTTATTTGATGTTCTATTCTCAAGTTACAGCCAGTGGCTCCAGTGGACAAGGTGTTGTGAGAAATGTCAGTCAAATATCGGACTGAAAATTCCTGCTGACCTTTGTTTGTGCTCTGAGCTGTCTCTCTGCCACCATCTCCAATACTCACATTCAGAATAGGCAGGAGGTAAAATATCTGTAAAGAGATGTGGTGTGAATTTCCTGAATGGGCTCAGTGTATCAGATATTTAAGCATAAATACCTCTCCAGGATAACGTACCACCTACTGCTGAGTTATTTAAGCCACAAATTGCTTCCTTCCACAGCAGTTTCCCACTGTGCCTGTCAGCTGATTCCTTGTACTCACAGTTATTTCCTTTCACAGTCTCTTGGAGCTCCAAAACATCAAGACTGTAGAAATTTTCAACTTATGAGTAGCGATGTTACCCATTTATAGAAAACTGAAGAATGGATAAGAAATCTGTGTTTTATTAGTTTGTGTTCTATCTTCGCAATGATTTTAAAATTATTTAGGTACTTTTTCAGCCTTCAGGGCTATAGAGGGATTTGCTGTAATTTTTATAAGATACTCTGATGATGATCTCTGAACTCTTTTCTGAAATATAAGCAACTTTCAAATGCTTTACAGTAGCTCTTGTTGTTTTCTGATTAATGCACCTCTATTTTTATTCTTCCAGTGCCCCAGGGTCCTATACCAGAGGGACAGCTGCCTCTCCCCCTCCTCTTAGCTGTGGTGTCTGTGATTGTGGTGCTTGGAATGATCCTCACTTGTGGCAGCCTGTCTATCAGTAAGATACACTTACTTCTTATCACCCTTTGACCTGGCTTTTTCCAGTTAAATTCGACAAAAGGAGATCACCTGGCCATGTGCCACAGCTTTCAATACTTGGAGCCAAAGTGTTGTGGTCTCTCTAGTGGATTGGAGGAGCAGGGGTAAAGAAGTGATAGAAAACATCACCTGCCACAATTAGGCAGAAGCTTAGTCCCAAAGGGCAAGGATGGCTCTTCTCTGGTACTTGCCACAGAACAAAAGAGCTAGGGAAGCCTTCTTAGCAGGTGTTTCTGTGGCAGCCACTGCAATACTGGATGAAATCACAGTCAGGGAGATGGTTTGATTTTTGGGACTTGATGTCAGCAAGATGTCTTGTGGAGCACTCTTCCTCAGCCGATGCACAAGGCAGCCTAGGAAACCTAAGTTCTTCCAGGTGCCTGCAGGAATAAGACTGTTTGCATATCCAGTACTAAATCAATGAAAACTGTGAAGAACACGATACAGGCAAGCCAGAGATGTTTTTGGACCATTTATAATTATGGGATTGGTGTCATTCTGTTCTGTGTTGCCAGCATTATCTTTTCTGTCCAGTTGTAGATCTTGTTTTGTGCATTTTTATTCTTTCCCCCCCCTGCCGCAGTTTATCACCTGAAGAAGCAGCAGCTGGAAGGATCCAGAGCACGACTGCAGAGCCCAGAATATAAACTGAGCAAAATCCGTACATCTGTCATCATGACCGATTACAACCCCAACTACTGCTTTGCAGGCAAGGCTGCCACTCTGAGCGAGCTGAAGGAGATCCCACGGAAGAACATCTCTCTGCTTCGGTGAGGAAACAAGGGCCACCTCTCTGGCCAACTGCAAATCACCCAGCCCAAGTCAGCCAAAATACAGCAGATGTGATACTTGCTATGTTCTCTAAGATAATCTGATTCTATTAAGTTCTCACCAGAAGTGTAAGATCAATTGTAAGTCTCCTGTTCCATATTCCCACATATAGGTATTTCACCTCTGCTGTGATTGTGTTTTTATTGCACTTGCCTCCTGGCAGCAGCTCCCTTCCAAATCTATAGCAGTATGTCTGTTTCAGCATTTCCTATCACAAGGAAATTTCCTGTCACAAAGACATACGTGCTAAGTTGCTCTTCAACATCCAGATTATACTGATCAAAGTTATATAAACTTTAGAAAGAACAATTTGATCGTTCTTATGTCTTATACAATCTCCTGAAGGCATCAGTCTGCAGCCACCTTATACCATTGTTCTCCATTTTTCTTGACTTTCTTTTGCCATACTTGCTGAAAGACCCAAGGACTGAGCAGGCCTATTTTTTGTTCAGAACCATCAAGGATCCAACCTCACTTTTTTAGTGACAGTGACAGAAAATACTGATAAGCTATTTTCAGAAGCTTCAAAATGAAATCAAAACTCTGCTATTGATTTGTCTTGGACTGGATGAAAAGAAGAGCTTGGCCAGCTCTGGATCCAAGGACATTTAACATCTGTTCCCTCTCTTCCTTTCTTGCAGGGCACTAGGACATGGTGCATTTGGTGAGGTTTATGAGGGAACTGTGGTGGGCATTGCAGGGGACCCCAACCCTCTACAAGTGGCTATCAAGGTCAGTACCCACAAATTTCTTATACAGCAATAATTACTCATAAGAGCCATGTTATCTTATCACTATTCCAGCTGGAAATGCATAAGTATCACATGTATAATGGCATATGTATATGTGTGATGCAGGCTTGGACACATTGCTGCATCCAGGCATTATCAGCTTTGATTTGAGTGCTTTCTCACAAGTTTTTCCATATGATGTATTTAAAAATCTGTGTTGTTTCTCAGTTACTTCCCTTTGTACTGAGAGTAGTGCTCTTCTACTGTATGTGAACTTTTCATGTAGTCTTTTGATATTGCACAGCGTTGAAGATGCTGTTGTGAATATATATTGCTTTTTTCATACTAATTTATCTGTCATTAATGGCAAGGGACAACAGGCTGGTTTTCTCTGAAGTTACTGCTGTTGCATCAGGATTTGTCAATTACTCAGCCCTGAAGTTAAGGATGCTCATAGTCTGCTTCTGTTATTTTATAAGCTTGTGACTCAGAGAACAAAATCTATGAATTCAGCTCAAGAACATAACCTTCATAAATTAAAAAAAAAGTTCTCCTGTTATTCATCCTGTCTTTCATGTCATAAACTTCCCTGTGCCACTGTACAAATGTGGGTGAAAACCCAGGGCATGAGCAAGCAGTTGGAACTGTCCAACCCAGTTTCACTATCCAGACTGGAAGAAGCAGCAGAGCACAGTGGCAAACAGAAGGAGATCAGCTTGTCATTCATTTGTGGCAATCCAGTGATCTATATCAGCAGATGTTGTCCAAATCTGCTGGCAGGAAAAAAGCTACAGGGGTGTGTGACACAAGTATTTAAATCAAGTGGCTGTGTGTGTCATACAACATGCAGGCATGTGCTGTAATGTGGACACAAAGAAAGGGGAGAATAAATAACAATTGTCATTTTAAAGAGGTCATTTCTAGGTCTGTAAGTCCCCATCTAATATTTTTCTTGATGTGTACCTGAAGGCATGTTTGTTCCAGAATTGTGCATAGAGTTCAATCCACACAAAGAAATCTTCAAGTAAGTCACTGGTTTCCTACCCTGACTTTAGCAAATGGGTCACATGCAGTGCAATAAACTGGGCATTGAAAGGACAAGGCCCTGCTCTTAGGTTCCTGGGGTGATTTACATGTTACGTGCTCATTCTTTTCTTTTCTTTTTTTCCCCTTTTTCTCTGGCGGTCACACAAATATTCTCAATTCTATGGTGGGCTGGCCCTCCCTGCCTTTACCTCTCAACAGACCCTGCCAGAAGTCTGCTCTGAGCAGGATGAGATGGATTTCCTGATGGAAGCATTGATTATCAGGTACAGTTCAAGGGGTTTTTTGCCGAAGGTGGGCAGGGGAAAAAAGAGTGAATGCAGGTAATCATTGAATCATTTATTCACTTGCCTGTGTTCAGAAAGGAAGTTCTGTCTTTTTTTTCATCGAATGGCATTTTAGTAGCATATAAAGTACTATTTGTTTATTTCAAACAAGATAACTGATGTTCTTTTGTTGCCTGTCTCTGGTGCTTTAAGGCCAGCAGGCAACCTGGCTGCACTCAGCAGAGGGGTGGAGAAGAGAATCAGAAGGAAAACAAGGCTCATGGTTGAGATAAAAACAGTTTAATAGGTAAAGCAAAATCTCTGTGAGCAAGCCAAGCAGCGTTGAAGAATTCATTCCCTACTTGCCATGAGCAGGCACCTGTTCAGCCATCCCAGGAAAACAGGGCTCCATCATGCACAGCAGCTCCCTGGGGAGACAAATCCCAAACTCTGACTGGCCCTTTCCCCTCCTCCTCTTTCTTTCCCCAGTTTTGTAGCTGAGCATGACACCGTAGAGGACGGGATGTCCCTGTGGTCCCCTGGAGCCAGCTGTCCCCGCTGTGTCCCCTCACAACCTCTTGTCCTCACAGCCTTCTCCCTGCGGGGGAGGAGTGTGTGTGTGAAAAACCTTAATGCTGTGTAAGCGCTGCTCAGCAGTAGCGAAAATATCAATGTGTTATCAACACTGTTTTGATCACAAATACAAAATATAGCACCATATGAGCTACTGTGAGGAAAATTAACTCTATCCCACCCAAAAATCATCACAATTTAACAAAAACTTCTGTTGATTGGTTCTGCTGGTCCTGTTTAAATGAGTAAGAAGGTATAACATTTTTTGTTTAAACATGTTCTGCATTTGATTTGATGTCTTTGCCTGACAGAACCTTTATAAGGTCCTACATGCATGACCCTCTGGCAGTGAATTATAAGATCTATCAAACCTGTTAAAGATAACAGACAGCCACTCCTATTACCAACTGTACTTTAGGTATTCCAGCCTTAGAATTTACTCCATTAGCAGAAATCCATAATCTTAAAACAATAGTAAGATCAAAGGTGACTCAAAAATGGTAGCATAGTCGAGGTTGATTGTAAGTATTTGGAATTTTTATATTTTGAATTTGCGTAATGTGAAGTTCCTCTTCTCATTGTCTGGCCCAGCTCATACTTAGATGCTGATTTTCTGCTAGTAAAGCATGAATCTCGTGACATATTGCCACTCCCTGTAGTCTGCAAGAAATTTGGTAGCTGAACAGGAGGTAACACTGATGTATGTTTTTTTAAAGAGCAATTTTAATCAATTAAGGAGTGCCTTGATTCACTTAGTAGCACGACTCTTTCTCTTCCCCAACTTCCTCTCTATTTTTAGTTCCTTTATTATCCAGGTAATCATTATCTAAGGGAAGACGCTGCTGTCTAATGACTGAGTCTTACTGTGCTCTGTGACAGCCTCAGCCTCCTTTTGTGAAAAGCAGAATCACATAAGCAGCTGCTGCAGTAGGTGTTAGCTGAGTCCCTCTGGCAGACCAAACAATGAACTGAGTCCCCCAAACTAAATAGCTCTATGTCTAAAATAACCAATGATGATTTAAAATCCCTACCAGCCAGGACTTTGTATCACAAATGCCAATGAAATTTGTATGCTTAACGTTCTTATCCCTCTCGTGTCATTCTCATCTTTCAGTCAGTGTGTCCATTAAATTCTGTTTTCACAGACAGAAGGCTCTGCTTTGCTTTTAGCTTTTCATACTTTCTGTTGAAGGCTTTTCATGGGCAAAGCCAGGCATAACCCTGTTCTTGGGGATGTCATAACCAGAGAGGCATTTTGATACAGCTGAAGATTTTTTGGTAACCACATCAGGATTTGCTCCGGACCAGACTGTCAAATCTCAAGGCACAGTGAGAATGGATGGATGCTGGCCAGGTACTAATGCTGTGTTTCTCTTCCATGTGCTGTGGCCTTGGCTTTCAGTAAGTTCAATCACCAGAATATCGTGCAGTGCATTGGTGTCAGCCTGCAGACACTGCCTCGCTTCATTCTGCTGGAGCTCATGGCTGGAGGGGACATGAAGAGCTTTCTTCGGCAGAACCGACCCAGGATGGTGAGAGAACTTCCCTGCGAGGGCTGTGGCTGGTTTTAGTATGGCTGCTTTTATGATTTTATCAATTGGATAAAGGCACTGAAGCCAAGCTAGGCTGTGTGTGTGTGCCCCAGCTCCCACAGATTTCCAGATACCTGTGTCTGTTTGCTTGAAGCAGGTGTCAGTGAGACAAAATCAAAGCAGGGCCAGAAAATCCAGTCTGCTAGGAACTAGGAGGTAAAATCCTATCCTGCCATTCTAGATTTCTCTGTCAATTAGACTAGAAATAATTGGTCTTTCTTTTTTCAATACCTGCTCTGTTTTCAGTGTAGGTGAGGAACTGAAGTTATAATCAGAATTCGTAGCACTAAGCCCTCAGCAGGTGTGCATTGGCACCATATAGAGAGGCACAAATTTATACCAGTTGAAGAGCTGAGCCTAATTTATTTGATATAGTTCAGACTTTGATTAGCAGTGTAGTAATTTCTTCTCACCCTTCCTGAGTGCAATAAAGAAGTTCCTAGAGAAAAACTCACAAAAATTTCCCTATGGAGAACTATGTAAGTGGGTAAAAATAAGCAGGGGCTCCTGGAAAAAGTCTTCTTTATTGTTCTTAGGGAAGTGCAGATGGTAAAGGGCTAGTACCAGACCTGCAGTACTGTAGTAAAATATTCCTTTTTTATATACTGCTCCTGAGGATAATCACTGTTTTTCTACCAGGACACATAAGGTGATGAATGCTGATGTTGGTGTAAAGATGTGCACCTTTATTCTCTCTCTCTCTTGTTCATGCACTAATTTCTGTTCATGATTTATTGACTCACTCTTTAAAAGTGGGTGGGTTTTTTTTCTTCTTTTATCTCACCTTTTAAACCTGCTTGTCTTTTGATTTCACATAACACAGTAGGGAATAGTTCTCTCCCAAGGCCTTTAACAGGCTATTCACACCAGACTATTCACACCAGACTATAAATCTCTTGCCAGCTTGCACTCATGTACAGTGCTCAAGAGAGATGAAATCTTCTGAAAGTTTTTGGGATTAAATAAGAGTTTCTCATTTTCTAACTCTTTGCTTTGATCTGTTTTATGTTCCTCTTTATTCCTGACTCACTTAACCCTTCCCCCATCCTGTATGTGTCTCCCTTTCCCTTCTTCTGTCTTTCTCTGATTATCCCCTGCATGAATTATATTCTTCTACTTCACTATCCTTCCCTTACCATTTAATGTCCTTTTCCAGAATCAACCATCCACGCTAACAATGCAGGACCTGCTGAACATAGCTAGGGACATTGCCTGTGGCTGTAAATACCTGGAAGAGAATCATTTCATCCACAGGTGAGGAGGAACTGTCTCTTCTGATGTGTCTCAAGGTGCATGAGGCTCATACACTTTCTATTTGCAGTGGATTAGACAGGACTAATCTCCACCGAGGAGACAGATTATTTCCTCTACCAATACAGGCTTATGCTTAGATGACCCGGTGGATCTCCCTGGTTTTTTTAAGGATTTAGGGTCTGCACTGTTCTTTGCAGTCCTGAGGGGAGAGCAATGTTCTGTTCCAAGTGAGAGGATTTCAGTACTAATTTTCGGGTGCCTGCAATGTAAAGACAGTTGAGATTAGCTCTGTAGTCCACTAGATGGTAGTGTCACTCTGTGTTGGCTGATAAAACAATAAGTATTTATTTCCTTTCTCATCTCCCTATCTTGACTTAAATGCTTTCCCTATCTCACCAGCCCAGGACAGTCCATAATATTTGAACCAAAGATTAGAGAAGGGTAGAGCAAGGATGACAGGAGATAAAAACACATTACACATTGCAGGCTTCCTTTCCAGCTCAATGGCTGACCTGCTTGCATGATCTTGGGAAGCCTATATTTGTCTCTTCAAATTCTTTTTTGCTCATTTGTTGAGCAAAAATATGTTGATATAGCATGCTTCAAATAAGAGCAAAACATTGTAGAAGGAATAAAGGTTGTAGTTATCCTTTTAAAACTCCTTTTTGGGTATTGAAATCCTTTGTTTTTGATTAAGGATTGTTTCAGCTCATAATGTTCCTAGGGACAGTGGGCAGCTGGATTCCTTGCTGTGCAGTGCATGCTGTGTCCAGCACTTGTGTGTAAAGGAGAGGAGAGCCCTTGCACACCAGAGGGTCACACAGGCTCTAACCAAGCCAAGGTGCAGCCTGGAGAAGTGCAGGCAGGCAATTGACCCACACGGGCAGTGCGTGTGTGCCTACAGGCGGGGCTGCACGGCACAGGGATGGGAAACAGTGGGCAGGGGCCGGAGAAATCCAGGGAAACAATGGCAAGCAGCAGTTGAGCAAAAAGCCCGGAGGCTGAGATAAGGGAATATGTTATATGGCTTTATGATTAGTACATCTGAAACCAGACTCCTTTATATTGCAACAATAAGGAAGTTCTGGGTGGAATGGGCTTAGAGATTTCTGTCATTAAAAAGGAGCAGTAAGAACGTGCAACAAGTTTTGGCTCTTGGATCTGTTAATAACTACATGAGAGGATCAATATTCTAACTGGAAACTTCTGAGTTAATCACTACAGCATTATTTTTTAGAATCCTTGCTGTAATAGTAACAGAAGTGTATGACTTTAAAAAAAAATCGCTGGGTCAATCTTTGCACTGTTTGATCTCTAATATAAGCAACCTGGGAATGGGTTTATTTTGTCTTAGCCAACAATTCAATAAATCTGAACACAAGGAATTTCCCTCAGGTTTTGTCTTAGTATTTGTTAGTGATGTCAGCATTACTTAGAGCAGGTTAGGAAATGAAGAAGGCTTTCATTACAGATATCAGGATTCCTAGGGGTAAGAAGTAGTACAGTGGAGTTGTAGAGAGGCATCTTACAGGGCAAGAATTGTCATCTAGGAGTCACAGCTGATAACAGAAGACAAAGCTGAACCTGATTTCCAAATCCTCTGAGATTTTTCGAGGCTGGCAATGGGAAGAAATATGAGTTGTTTAAGGAGCTTATTTTTCTTGGCAGTCAACAGGACCCTCACAGTGCTATGATTTTAATGCGTTTCTTTTCAGAATGCATATTTAAAATGAATAGAAATATTTTAGCCTTGGCCAAGAAGGCGTCACTTCCATTTCTTACAAGCTAAACTTGCACTCAGCAAACAGCTGCTTCCAGATGGAGCTTTGATTGATTCCATGGGAGATGTCCAGAAGTAACAAAGCAACAGATTACCAAATCTGGTTCTACATAACTTTTCTAGCAATTTACCAAGACTATCCAACAGCAGCACATCTGTAGCTGATGGAGACACTTCTGTCTCTCTCTAAAAAAAAATAGAACAAGTAAAAAATCTGTCATAATGTGGTTGAAGCGAAAGAGTTTGGGTTTGTTCCTCTTTTGATACTGATGCTGTTTTCTGCCTTAGTGAAAGGTGTGAATGGGGAAAGCTTGGCAAATGCTGGGTAGGAGATATAATTCAAATGCAGTTTAAGAATTGTGGTTAACAAAAATGATAATGTAAATGGAATTCTTTCTTATTTTAACAGGGCTCTTCTCATTTGTGTAAAGATTACTCAAGTAAGACTTGCAGGACTGGGTCTAATACTTTTTCTTTGTTCCTTTGACTACTTAAGAGTCTAAAATTAGAATTAATTTTAAATTTTTTTAAAGAGATATAGCTGCAAGGAATTGCCTTTTGACCTGTACTGGAGCAGGACGAATAGCCAAAATTGGTGACTTTGGAATGGCCAGGGATATCTACAGGTAAGTGAAGGGCAATTTCAGTTCTGTGAGTAACTCAGTAATCTGTATAATTTTGACAGGTTTGAACTGTTTCATAATATGTGAAGTAGTGGAACCATCCATTAGGAGTCTGAATTTGATGAGCAGTTAACTGACTTGTGTTAACAGCCTGTAAATTAACACATCTATGCTTCTGAACCAATCCACTTCAGTCCCAGCAAACTACAAACACTTGTGGACACTAAAACAAGCACAGGCACATTTATTAGCTAGTTGATCATAAATAATCTTAAATTGAAATTAAAATTAAAAACCCCCAGTAACCATAATTATCACTTCATGATGTCAAGAAGATTTGCTAGATCAACACCCAGTGCAAAACATTGGCAAGTTTGATGTCTTTAGCTGTGCACAAGCACATCCTCGATTTCCATCTCAGCTGCAAAGGGGATATAAAATCCTGCTCCAATGCACCACTTGTGTTGATGACTTTTCCTTTTTCTCACTTGGCCCCCACTGTTGCATGCAATCCCCAGCTGCTGTTACTGTGGTGATGAGATCTTTTCTGTATGGCAGCCCTTTCAGGCTGTGTGACGTTCTCTGTGCATTTTATCTTTCCCAGAGCAAGTTACTACCGCAAGGGAGGAAGAGCCATGCTTCCTGTCAAGTGGATGCCACCAGAAGCTTTTCTAGAGGGCATTTTCACCTCCAAGACTGATACCTGGTAATAAATATCTTTTATTCATTCTGCTACTCACTGAAAAGCATCAAGAAATGTACGGCTCAAGAAAAAAAAAAAAAAGGTGTGCTCAGAAGGAACCTTTAAAAAGTCAGAATTTCCCAGAAAAATATGAGAAGTCTTCCCAGTGCATTCAGTAGATGTATGGCTAAAGAATCCAGAATAAGAATTTAAAAGTCGAATGTAAATAGAGGTAATAAAAATTTGTTATTCATAAATGTAGAGTATCATATAAAGCCAACCAAGAAGTAAAAAGCAAAAGCAGATTAGATTCTCAGGAAGTCTCAGTTAAAAATCCAGACAAATATCATCAAATACTTCCCTCAGCCTTTAGAATCTTCCAGCTTCCATCAGTGACAGGGTCTGCTTATATACCTTGTAAATTACTTTCTCTGTACCACCCAGGATTACTCTTTTGTATATTTTTTTCTTGCTGCATATAAAATGACAGCAGATTTAATCAGAAGTCCTTGCTGGTTGCTGAGGAAACAATATTTATATATTTCTTTCTCATGCAACTTGAGCTTTCTTTAAAATAAGCACCCCCTCAACAGTAGCACTGTTCAAGCACAGGTGCTGGGGAATGGAAGCTTTCCAGTTGCTGAAGAACACTTCTTTCTCTGTACAGTAGATGCTTCAATTTGCTGTACTGAGGCATTGCCTCAAATGCCACACTGACCCAGTTTCCTGAAGCTGTTAGCCATGCCGGAAGACAAGGGATTGCTTATCAGTGCCTAACTGGGAGCAGCCAGCACTAAATATTTTGAAGGAAAGTGCTACAGTTCCTGTTAATAGGCTATTATAAGTAACATGCATATACTGGAAATTACTTTGACCTTTGTAGCAATAAGTGACTCTGAAAATTCTGACCCTGCTGATGTCCTGGCAGAACTCTCTTGACTTCCTTGTGTCTAAGTCATACATATTTTCTAGAGGCACTAACTATCTGACCTGTGGATGTAAAAAAGTACATTTCCTATCAGAAATGCTGCTGCCTTTCAGTTTCACTGAATGTGTCTTCCTTGATTTTAACTTGAGCGTCTTGTTCTGAAATACTGATTCAAATATTAAGGAAACATTTGAAGGTCCCTGTCCGACCATCCAGGAGCCACTCCAGAAATCACACTTGTACCACCCACTTGGGGTGGGTAGAGGCCCCTTCACAGCTACACTCCCCCCACTCACAGTCAGACCAGGTTTCCTTACCAGCTCAGCCCCAGGTTTCTCATAGCAGACTGAGATGGCAGGATCCTTAAAGTCATTTAATCAAGATGCAATGACAAAATAACAACTTGAGCTCCTTCCTCTGAGGAGGGGCCCCAACCAAAGGAAGATCTGGGTTTTTATACCCTCACAGTCTAAGTGTGCCAAAGTCTGGAGTCATGGGCTCCTGCTGTGTCTCCACGTGTCTGGTCACCTGGCAATGCCACAGGTCCTTGTCCCATTTGTTTTGCAGAGGGTCAGGCCACAGCCTCTTGATTTGGGCTTCTGCCACCCAGAGCTCAACCTGCAGCCAAGTTACCAGCACCAAATGTATTCCTCAACACAAGTTTTCCCAAGTAAGGCAAGAAACATCCATGCCAGATCTAACAGGTCTTTTCAGTTAGACCATGCACAGCCAAGAGTGCTCTGGAATTTCCTGCTCTACTAATAATGAATGCAGCAGAAAGAACACCTTCAGAGTTATTAAGTATTTTGAAACCTCTGCAAAACTTGTTTTGGAGCTTGAGCAAAGATTTTGATTGATTGGGATGTCTTTTTATGTAAACATTGATTGGACTGCAGCTTTGAAAGGTCATTGCTTGTGGTGTTGTGGAGCACAAATGAAAACCTGATTGGTATTGTTGCCTGGTTTCTGACACAGGTCCTTTGGAGTGCTGCTTTGGGAGATTTTCTCTCTAGGCTACATGCCCTACCCTTGCAAAACCAATCAGGAAGTGCTGGAATTTGTTACCAGTGGAGGAAGAATGGATCCACCGAAAAACTGTCCAGGGCCAGTGTAAGTATTTCCTTACTCTCACAAGCCAAGGTATAGTAGGTGTCAAAAATATGGACAAAGACACTTCTACTGAGGTAATGGTGATTGCCCTCTGTGTTAGGTGGGTGTTGCTAAATGTCTCTTGAGCTACTGCCTCTTGTATATAGCTTAGAGCACTACAGGATTTGCTTTAAATAGTGACTCCCCAGTCAGACAGGATCCAGGGACATAGAAATGATATATCCACTTTTGCACTCCTCCTTTGAGCCATGTACCAAGTGTGGACCCCTTGGAACCCTGATCACTTCATACTGAAACACTTTTTACAAAATAATCTTGATCAATTTTTTTTTTTTTTTTAACTTTAAGGTACCGGATCATGACACAATGCTGGCAGCACAGTCCAGAGTATCGGCCAAACTTCTCTACCATCCTGGAAAGGATCAAGTATTGCACACAGGTACTGCTCCTTGGTATCCAGGTGGATGATGATCCATTGAATGCCAGCTATCCAAAGGCATTAGCTTTAGTCCCTAAAGCACGTGAAGGGTCCTGACATACTGGTACAATTACATCACTAGTGTGGCTGTGGTGTTGGCTCTTTTCCAGTGTCCATCCTCACTCTCCCATCTTCTGCCCAGCCATAATGAGCATAAACTGTTCCTGTGCAAATGGATGCTTTTAGCTCTCAGCTTGTTCAATTGCAAATTGTCCTTCATTTTATGATGGAAAGGTACTTAGATCTCTTTCAAGGTCCGTATTCTGACCTTGCCTAATGTTGCTCAAAAGCCACCCCTGAATATTTATGGAGTGGAGAGGGGGAATGAAATGGCACAGTGAGTTCACCATCCAGTAGCATTTAACAGCTACAGGTCTGGATCCAACCTCTCAAAAGAGAAATTTTATACTACAGACCCCCAGCTTAGTCACTGATTTCAATGAAGCAAATCTCTTCTCAAAGGAAGCATATAAGTCTCAACAGCATGTGATATCCAAATGGAACATAGCACCTTGTGTGATGTGCAGGAGTATTGCCCAAACCTGTGACGGTCACCCTGAAGGTGGAACAGATTCTTCTCTCTTTTTTCAGGACCCTGATGTGATCAACACTGAGCTGCCCATGGAGTGTAGCCCCACACCAGAGGACGAAGGGAGTACAGTCATGCGCCCAAACATTCCCAGTGGGATAGTGCCACTCCTGGTAAGCCCTTCTCTCACACCTCAGACAACTCCTAAGACACTGGAATCCCACCATGCTGGGCACAAACTTGTACAATGTCCACAAGAGCTACTGGTGGAGAACCTGAGCAACCGGACTGCCCGAGGGCCCAGCCTGCCGTGCCTCAGTGATTTCAACAGTGGGTCGTGGTTCCAGCAGACCTCAAACCAGAAGCTGGAGCTCAGCAACCCATCGGCCCACAGACTTAAAAACAAAACAAAAAATCTTTGGAACCCAACCTATGGATCGTGGGTGCTAGAGAATATCTGTCACTTCAGCCCCAGCTCCAAGCTCAAGGCAAATGCAGAGCGGGAAGATTCAGGCTTTGATGGGAATTGCAGTTCTCCTAGCTCTCGGGCATCTCCAGCATCTCCAAGTCGAAATAACTGCCCTCACCTGGATATCAGTGGGATTGAACTGGTGAAACTCCAGACTTTCCCCTGTGGCAATGTAAATTATGCTTATGATGACCTATGCTATAGTGCTGAGCACCAGCCATCAGCCCTGGCAGAGGTCAGAGCAGCTGTACTAAGGAGCTCCAGTCTGCACAGAAATGAAAAGCCTTTTTGTAAAACAGAGAAAACATCAAGAGAGAGAGACTCTGGTCTGTCTTTGTCAGATGACCTGAGTGTTACTCCAGTATAGTAGAAATGGTACTTCCAAAGATCAGGGAGTGTGTGTGTCTGGAAGGACTACTTCCTGTTTCACTTACTTCCTCCACTTTAGTTCCATCAGATGGGTGAAGTTTCAACATCAGCAATGTTCTGCTTCCTCTGTCTACCTGCCAGATCCCAGATTGTTACACACACTTGCATTTCTATCTCTGTCCTTCAAATGTGTTCCACTGAACCAGCTTTGAACTGGAGAACAATGGCACTGTTTGTCTGATTCAGAATACAGTTCCTAAGGAAAGAACTCATTTTCAATCTGCTCAGGTGAAAAGAAATGGACCTACCATCCAGCTGCAGTATTTGGATGGAAATAATGACCAACACAAGTTGCTTCTTTCTGAACCAAGAATCCAAAAATGTGTACTGTACCAGCAGCAACCAACTTGCAACGGCTGCTACATTCCCAAGAGCTTTTTAAAGTCCTGGTGAATTACTAATGCTTATGCACTATAAGGGAAGTAAAAAAAATAGCAGCCACATTTGCATCTCTTTTATTAGTAGACCTTGTGGAAGCTATTGCTCAAATTGGAAGCAGTAGGAAGAATGAAAAAAAATCAGGCTCCTCTGAGCATGTGCTTTGTAAACAAGCAATGAAGAGGAAAACATTCACCATTAAAAAAGCAGGAGCTGGTGGAGCAGATAGTATTCCTTTGAGCAGTGAAGGAAATGTGCTTCTTGCCTCATGGTGTTGCTTTCCTCACAGCTCCTGGCATTGAAGGTACAGGTGGTTTTTCAAGGAAGGGTGAGCTGCATGGCTTGATGAGAAATGGACTGTGTTGTCTTTATCTTTCAATGGACTTTACTTAAAATGAACTTCATTTTTGTAAGTACTTTGATATTCAGCATTAATTCTCTGTGCTGTGTTGGTAAGCACTAAGTTAAGGTTCTTGGGTAACTATCTAGCATTTGGTATGCTGGAGTTCTTGGTTTTAATACTCTGAGGCAGAAAGTAAAGAAGAGGAACAGTGAAGGAAAATCTAGTGCAAACCCCATTTAGGGTGTTCTTTTACAGGAAGGTAGAATAGCTCAACCATTTGAGAAAGCTAAAACCATTACCTGGCTTCACACAGCTGAGCAGGTAGTAATTGTCCCTTGCCTTGCAAGTGCAGACTTGCTGATAAAGGCAGTCATTTGTTTCCAAGACAGCTCATTTCTAAGGCTTTCTTCAGTTGTTTAGGATCTAAACGGATGTTTACAGATTAAAGCTGCAAAATAAGGAGACTGGAAAGACAAATAATTTGGATTAAGTCTGAACAGTCTTGGAAGAATTCTGTCTTTGTACCATTCCTGAATGTCACACTGCCAACCTACAGTGGCAAATTACATGCTGTCTTTCTGTGTAATCAAGTTGTGTAGTGACATGCCAGTCGTAGACTTCTCTGGCTCCTTTCTGAGGCAAGAGGTTCTCTGGTATATGCTTTATGCTTAGTGATCAGCTGCGTGTACAGTCTGAAGGTGCAGGCTAGCAGGTGAGGGTTTGCTTTGACCACACAGATTTCCTGTCCTTTACATCAGTCAGGGTAGACACTGCTGAGCTGTGGTAAAGAAAAGCACAGAGTGGAGAGTCTGAATCCATCCTCAGAAAGGCATCTTCATCACAGCTTTATGCTTTATTGGTCTGGCCATGTTTTGTATAGTTTTAGGCCTTTGACTTTAGAATGGACAGTTTTATACAGTGTCATTTCAGAGCATACAAATATCTTAAGAGCGGGTGTCAAGAGGATGGGAGCAGACTCATTACAGTGGTACCCAGCAACAGGACAAGGGGCAACAGGCACAAACTGAAACATTTCACCTGAGTATGAGTAAAAAAAAAGTGTTTGAGGGTAACAGAGCACTGGAACAGATAGCCCAGAGAGGCTGTGTAGTCTCCTGCTCCAGAGACACTCAAAACCCAACCAGATATGATCCTGTGCAACCTCCTGTAGGTGAACCTCCTTGAGCAGGGAGGTTGGACCAGATGATCTTTGAAGGTCCCTTTTCACACCAATCCTTCTATGATTTCCTGACACAAAGGGTGATGGTTACCTTTCAGCAAAAACCCTTATGGTGTAGAAATAATTCCAAATCCATCATGTTGTAAAATAACAGATGGTCAGAAGAGAAAGGTCCCTCTGTGTGGGGCAGATTTTGGAAGTGTGGGGACTGATGGGTTTAGCTGGATGACCTTGCCTCATGCCCTTCTTCCCATTTCACCTTTGCTTTAGATCTCTAGCATATCTCACATTTAATTCATTGCCTGTCCTGTCTTATATCCAGGAGTTGCTACAGCCCAGTTAGATGAGGCAGAAAAGCCCATTTAGCAGGAAACTTTCTCATTCTTTCCCCTTGCAAAGGCTAACGCTTTTGGTCATATTTCAGACTGCCCACTTCTGGACCATGCTAGTCAAAAATAAATGCATTAATTTTAGCTAATTGGAATTTCATCAGTTTGTCCTTACCTTTCAGATTGTATTACTTTTATGGTTCATGCATTAGTAGTTTTTTGTTCACCAAAGGTGACCTATCAAACTTGCCAGCAATTGTGACTTGGTGACTTGGCCCCTTCCTCCCTGAAGGTAAGGCCACAGCAAAGTGCAGTGATCCTGGTTCAGCTGCACTGGGCACGGTGCCAGCTCACTCTTCAGCCTTTGTCTGTCCTGAGCACAGCACTGGTGGTCATGGCCATGCTCTGCAGGCCCATTATGTCTCTGCTTTCAATTCTCCTTAGCCACAGCAGGGGCTGGAAACTGGTGGCAATAGGAGAGAAATACTGGCTTGTTCAGAAGCCATGGGAAGGTAACCTTCTCTTCCCAGAGACTTTTAGTGAAGTAGCAGACACAAGACAGTTCTTATTGTTAAATGACTACACAATACCCCAAGATTCCAGTGAGAAACAGGCATGATCCCTACTGGTAGCTACCACTGTAGTGGAGCTACCACTGTTTTCACCATGTGGCACTTGCCTCAACATAACTCACAAATTTAGAAAGGCCAGTGGTGATAAAACCAGGGAATCCATTGAAAAGTGAAGTGAGAGGAGAGCACAGATCTATTACCAGCACCACAGGCAGTCTTGGCTGCAGCTATGCCTTCACTTTATAAATGAAGTGCAAGTCCAGCATGTTGGACAAATACCTGTTTTTACTGAATAGCTGCATCAAGGTACTAATTTACAGGGAGCACATAGACAAAGCTGCACTGAGACTGAACAGAATTCTATCCTGACCTGGATCTTATCCCTAAGAGTGATCAAGAATGGGATGTTGAAGAGCAATTGTAAGAGTAGAATAAGCATGTATTGTTATTATTTATCTCCGAGACAGACTCTGATGGTTTACAACAGCATTTAGCTCAGGGCTGTACTGAGCCAGATGCAGTCTCTTCTCACAAGACATGGAGATGCAGATACCAAATGGGCACTAAAAGAAAGAGATGAGAATTTTAAAAGAATCTCCATTAGCAACCTCAATTTTGTGCACTCTTTACTCTCCCAGGTGGAATGATCTTCTGTCAGCGAATTGCCATCAATCTTTGACCTGTACCAATCTTTTTTAGATGCTGTTTAAAAACCCTCAAAATAATGAATTTTTTATTAATATCCTCGAGGGAATAATGTTAATATTGCTCTTGTTGTGATGTTGAATGCTACATGCTGTACAAACTATTTCATCTCAAAAGAAAAAAAAAATAGCAATTGCGGTGATACACACTACAACCTTCAGTCCTTCAATTCTAAGACTGAAACTTACTGTTTGTACAATCAGAGATTTCATAGTGCTCAACTGCTAGCATTGCAAAATATACCTTGCATGAAGCTGCTTTTTACCGAGACATTTTTAGTGCATCACCAATGAGTTAAACCCATAGTGTCAAAATTAGATTAATTTGGCAACTTGAAGCCAAAACCAAATTTTGTTTCCTAGAGGAATGACATCAGCTGAAGATCTGGGATTAATTTGGTCCTATAATCCACGTGAAAAGACTTTTCCACCACTTCCCTACTGCAGAATCAGCCATTTATAGGGCTGTAATAAATTGCTCTTCCTGATACATGTCTGTCTTTTAACATCACCAAATTGGTTTTGTAGTTGTATGTACATAGTTATGTTTTTACTGTGTTTAAAATTAGTACTTTATGTTGCTTCACAGAACCTCATACTTAGGTTTTAAAGAAGGGACTGATTAACAAAAGATGAAGCAACAGTGGAAATTTCAATTTGTCCTTCTCTGCTTTTTCACATTATTCCTGCTTCTCATTTCTTTGTAATCCTTGCGCTCCTCAATATAAATGCTTTGCATCTTCATTTTTTCCTTTAAACAAACAGCATTTCCAATTGCACAGATTTAGGGTGTCCCCCCCGCCCCCCATATCAACCCTTTTCCTGAGATAGGTTCTCAGTTAATTTGCCCATGGGCTGGTGTACACTAAGAAATCTTTCCAAGGCTGATAAAACAGTTCCAGGCTTTTACAAGGTGAAGTTACACTTCACCTCCAAAACACTCCCCCTACTTTCCTGAAAGAGAAGAAAATGCTGCTGCTGGAAATACTTTTTCCCCCTCTATATTTGCATCTCCACAGCTGTGTCAGAAAGGGACAACGCTTCCTCAGACCCTTGAGCTGTGTGAGAGTTTCTCCTGTAGCTCTCTGGCTGTGCTCTCTCCTCCTGGCTGTCCACCCTTCTCAATCCAATGCAGAGACCTCAGTGATACCATGCCTAACATCTTCCCATCACATCACACAAATGGAAAAATCATGTGAATAGGTTTTGAGTTGTCATTGCCTCTGACCACGGCAGCAATTCTGCCAACTTACCTTTCTGGGTGACTACTGTACCTAAATAGATGACACGCCTGCTTCTATGCAATTTAAAGCTAGACAAGTGTATACTTCTATATTTGCAACACAAAATAAAGAGACACTAATGGTGGATATTTGTTTCCCTCTCTTATAAGCACTCTTTGCACACTCTGTGGTAAGAATACACTTTCTCTTACTGAGAAGTGCTGCCAGTCCTCGAGTGTTTGAGTGCTTCTTCCTCGTGTCCACACAAAACTGCCCAGGGAAACAGTTTAGTGCTCTGAGTCTGACAAGTGCCTCTTGATGCACATTTTTGTTTTATGCTGTAGGCTATTCACTGAGATTTCTGAGACAGAGCTTACCTTGAAGAAAGCTGAGAAGCTTTGTGTGAATCAGGTTCTAAAGGTAATGTCTACAACAGGTTTTGGAACCAAGCTCCACCATTTGGCTCTAGATGTCTTAGAACTGGTTTTGCTTTAGGAAGTACCAGATGCTAAAGCCTACAGGCAAAAGAAACACTGAAATATATTGTTTTTCTCCCTTCCCTAAGGACATTCTTGAAGAACAGACATTATTCTCACATTAAAAAATCATAGCAGATGTCTTTTTTTCCTTCAGTCTCATTTATTTAGTAGCATACACACTTCAGAGTAACAAACACTCATCCAATACAGTCAATGTCAGCATTGCATTGTAGTGTTCAGAACGGATGCATGTGGATGATACAGGCCATTTGATCTCAGTACCTTAAGAATAACAAATAATAACAACAGCAATAAAAAAAAGTAGCAAAAGCCCTCTGAAATACATAAGGGTTTGGTCCAACTCCCATTGAAATCTTTTCCTTTAACAGGAACTGGATCAGACTTTAAGTGAATACCTCCCTGTACAAAATTTAGAGGGGTTTAAGTTTTCCCACTTTGGTTATTAAATTTCAACCAAATTTGTATCTCTGTGGGGTCTCAATGCCCATAATTTTTAAACTTATCTGATCTGTCTCTGTGCATTTCATTCTATATTGCACCCTCCTCCAAAGAATCTCACAGCAGCTTGCAGGCACTAATGAAAGACAGCCTCACACCATTCCCATGGAGGCAAGTAGGTCTATCCCCATCTATAAGATTGGAACAAAACAATGCCTAGGATAGTAGTCCAAGGCCAAAAAAACCAATTCAATGATGAAGATGAGGGAGAGTAGTCCTAGTCCTACTTCTTGATTAACACAGGAATGCAGCAGCTACAGCACTGCTGCATCTAACTAGTGAGTTTAAAGAGCTTGGAACCTAGTTCAGAGGCCATCTGTTCAGCACCAAAGTGCCTCTAGGCCAGCATTTCTGACCCTGCTGTGCAATCACACGTGCTCAGTGTCACCAGAGGCACTATCTCACCAGATGCATTAATGAACAACATTCTGGACTTGCATGTGAATAAATTCTGTGGTTACCATGCATCAGCTCCCCCTGTGTTACACGCCTGTGCACATGCACCATGTTGACCCTCTGGTAAATATAAGCTTATTCAACACAACTTACCCCATTGAAAGAAGGCCATGCTGCTCCCTCACACTAGCAAGTGCATGTCCATAGACAGGTGCTCTGGGCCACCTGATGAGAAACAAGGAATCTAAAACTTACCCTGGGGCAGTTTGCTTCTCAGCTCCTTAGAGCTCCAGTGCTCAGCTCAAGTCCTACACTCACAGTTTGCTATGAAAAGCTGCCTCCTTCTCTCCTTTCCCATAACAGAAACAGATGATTGTGATTTCTTTCTTTCTAAGCAAGACAAAAAGCCATTTCAAAACTAACTTCCTAGAACTACACATCATCTGGAATGAGTTTCCAGATCAGTGTCTGCTATAGCAGAGATTTTCCTTTTCCCCTGACATTTTCAGCTACTGCAGTGGAACAAACCTTCTCCGTGTTTTCTCCCAGGACCATGTACAGTAAAAGCAGCCAGGTGCTACCAGGAGTTGTTTTCTTTGAAGCTACTGATACCACATTGTTCCAGTGCTCCTTTAGAACTGGACAGTCATTTTAAAAGTTTGTCTTAAACTCTCAACTGACATTTGAGTACCAACCTCTACTGTTTAGATCTTCCCTCCAGAAAACAGGTTACATTGGTGTAAAAGATTCACATATGTGTAACAGAAGAAAGAAATTTAACTCTGAAGATTAATGTCCTAATCTTATTTCTAGCTTGTATAATTCTTTTTAATTATGGTAGGACAGCTTGCAATTGCAGTCTCATAAAAAAGGCAATGTCATTAAAGTCCTGCCTGTGAGACCTATTTACTTGCTACTGTCCTTAAGCACTGCTATTCTCCTTAGGCACTGCTATCCAGTGGCTGACCTGTTGGCTGTAGAAAAGGAGAAATACTTTTTTTTTTTTTAACTGTATGGAATTCACTACAGATTAATTTGTCATCTCACAGCAGTTCAAAAGTTAGGAGGCATCTGGAATGATACAATCTGTGCTCACTGTCACTTCAAAAAAACCTAATACAAACACTCTGAAACTTTTAAGTGAAAAATCCATTAACATACTACCATAAATATAAAACAGAAACTTTGGGAGGCCACAGAAGTTGTCTGAATTTGCTGTGAACTGAAAAAATAATTACCAGTTTCAGACAACTTCTGGTTTAAGATTAAATATTTCCACATGTCATTACTTGCTACAGAATACCTACTCTGTGTCACCTTTTACATCACAACTGAGCTTCAATTTTCAATACTCCTGTTTTGTTTAGAGTTGATAAAGTAATTAAATCTTTTAGTAGAGTAGTGTGTTACCCAAAGTAACTCTTTTTAGAAATTATTTTAGGCTGTCCAACTCTAATTACAAATATTACAGATTTTATTCCAGATCTGGACTGTATAGGAGTTTTTTTTGCTTATGATATCAACTATTATTGAAACAGCAGTTTCCCAAAAGTGGAGTCACCTTCATATATCCAAAGTTCTCAGGCTCTTTCCTGAGCACAGGACACCAGCAAAAGACAGGAATTTCTGATCAACGTGCAATACTACCTCTAGATGTTGAAAGGGTTTTTACCATCAACTGGTAACGTAACCCTTACCTGCATTGTGAAAACTGCATCACCACATTACTGATGTTAAAACCTGGAATGTGAGTTAACATATGACTAATGATAGTATTTAAACTCCAGTATATAAAAAACTGTTCCAGTGACTAGAAGCAACCAACAGAGAAGGTATGTGAAGCCATTGCAAGAAAACAAATTTTCTGTGGCTGTGCCTGGACCAAAGCAAAAGAATGAAGCACAGATTACTCTGTGATTCCAGGTGGGGACTATAGGATATAATATATTGACATTTCTTAACCCAAAGTGGCCTGGAGTTAACAGCTGATACCTTGGAGGAAGGATGCCTGGGAATTATCATTATGCAATGCTGTGAATGCAGAAACACGACCTCTCTGATTGCTGTGCCACTTTATACGTGTAAGTGGCAGCGTCATATTATAGAACAGGAACATGGCCAAGAAGTCATATGCATTAGGAGACAGTCAAACCATGATCTTCAGAGATCACACTGGTTGCTGACTACTAGTGTGTGCATGTGTATAGGGGTTTTATCTTCAAAAATAAACAAGCCTTGGAAAACAAACTTAGTTCCCTGACCAGTTTGTGAAAGATCATTAGTGATTTTCAGAGCTGCAGTTCAGCTGCAAGAGGCCTAACTCTCCAACTTCGTAACATATCCAACAGCCCACCCATTGGAAAGTCAAATGTTTTTGGAGACAATAGGCAGCAATTCTCTCCCTAGAGTATTTGTAATCTCCTGAGCGGCTACAGAAAAAAACCAAGGCTGTTGTTGGATAGAGGCAAGGGTAGGGTAGGGTAGGGTAGGGTAGGGAAGGGGAGAAATGGTCAAGAGCAGTTAGCCACATCAGGCCACTACAAACTGCTGTCTCTCTTTCCTCCCAGTTTCTCTTGATTATCAGTCATTTGCACCTTGCTCACACTGTAACATAATGCAGCAGAAGTTGTTGGTCCAACTTATAGTGTACACAGGAGCAAGAGGACTTGGAATTAGAGAGGAAAAAAAAAAAACAATCTGGTTTCAAAACTATGCAACTATTCCCTGAACAATGTTTTTTCCTGCCCTGAGTTCCCAAGCATTCACCCTGGTTCTCTAAGAAGTAATTTGGAGTCCCATTTTGCCAGAAATCATAATCATTCTGGTTTACCACACAGACCTCTTGACTCATGCTGGTGTGATTCCCGAGTATGGAGATCTTCATTCTCTGAGGACCAGTCTCAAGTTCATCTGGTGCAATACAGACCAATCTGGAGTGATTCATTTAGGTTCATAGAGGGCTGATGCAAAGTAACTTTGATCACTGACTGCTGGCTTCTGGATGCAGCTCCCTCTGCACTGACAACCTCAGGAGTTTGGAGTTAAAGGTTTCCTTCTAACTGAGTTTCCTTCTACTTCAGTAAAGCAGAAAGTTACAGAGAAGCCCTGCAAGTTTTGTGCCTTTCTCAACTCATCTTTCAGTGATGCTTTCCAAGATGCCAATCAAATTGTCCAATCCCAACAAGTAGCCATCCTCCCTGTTGCCCTCTTGCCAGGGGATCCTGTGATCTAGTGTCTGCCCATCAGGAAGAAGCGTGGTCTTTCCAAAATCGATCAGCCACACATTGGCATTCCCACTGCCATCATGTACAAAAAGTAGTGAACTTCCCACGACCTGGAAGACAGATTGAGACAATGTAGTTAAAAATACATCTTCAGCCCTCCCCCACTAATTTACACTTCCTGCTGAGAAGATAATCTCCTTAGCTCACCTGACCCAACAGACTTTTGGGCTGCATTTACACATTGATGAATTAGATGCCCCTTTTGCATAACCATATGAATCAGTAAAGTACAAATAGGAGGGTAGATAAGAAAAGGGACTCAGTAGAAAACAGGAAGAAAAGCAATTCTTCATCTTACTTAGCATCAGGTCCCAATTTGAACAATTCAGCAAAGGCCAGTAACTCCTTTCAAAGATAGATCATAACCCATGATTAACAAAAATATCTCTACTGATAAGAGAAAATCAACAAGGTAAAATGTCTAATCTCAAAATCTTGAGCTGTTAACAAGCAGAAGTTACAATGCTAATGATGCCTTCTGCATAGCAAAGCAGAAAACAACAGACAGCAGAATTAAATGGTATTTCAACATAAATCCATTAAAAGTAATACAGCCTTCATTGTCAAACTACAGTTGAATGCTACTCTACCAAATGCACACTTCCATGTTGCCATTCCCCTGTAAATATTCCCACTGGAGCACATCCAGGTTAGAGAAACCATAGGAAACTAGTCCTAATAAACTATTCCATGCAGTGGCCCAGAGCTGTAAGTGCTGGGATGTCATAAAGACAGGAGGATTTATTATTCCTCAGCCAGTTAAATCCTCTCTATCATTGTGGTATCTGTGTCGTTAACATGTGTTTGCTTTCTTCTACAAAACCCCTTTACTCATACAGCAGGCGGTTCTGAAGTACACCTGAATGTGTACTTCACTCTAATGAAGAAGCAATGCACCTCCACAGCTTTACACTCACTGCTCACCTCATGTCGCTTGAAGAAGTCTGAGGATTCAAGAATGACATTAATTTCCTGCAGACGTTTGAGGTATTTTTTCTGGAGGAAGAAGAGGAAAAAAACCCAAAACAATCCATAAACATTTCACTGAAAACTGAATAAAGATAATCTGTTTACGAGAATCAATATAATTAAGAGACCATATTCATTTTAGGCTAGAGGTCCTTCAAAATAAGAGTTTCATCATTTGAAAGTCAATCTGAAAATACGTTTCAAGCTTTCATAGTGAACTGACAGACCGGAGTTCATCTGCTGCATGTGTTACACCAAGCATATTTATCTTTCTTGATGTGGATGCTATGATGCTTTCTGCAACTGTTTTTTTTTTTTTTTTTTTTATTAAGGGGGAAAGTTTTCAAGGAATTAAAAATCTTCCAGTTCCCCAAAGTGAAAAGAAAGAAATTGTGTTAGAGAAACAAGGAGCTCCAACCATGGTGGGGGCAGAAGGGGGACAAAAAGAATCAAGGCCTAATTATAAAGCTCAGATTTTTAAAGCTGTCCTGAGCTACCAAGCACGCTCCTCCTGAAGAGCTAATCTGCCTTCATAATGGCTTCTACACTGCAGCAAAACATTACAGCATCCTTTGAAGTTCCAAAGACAAGAGATGTGTTATGCCATCTACCACATGCCTGCTGTGCTACCCATGAATTAGCACACAGGAATTCCTCTTTGAGATGAGTTTCACACATGGGAGAACAGCTAGTCACCAATCTCACTTCCTGCCTCCACGCTCTGGTTTTATCTTCTCCAAAATGAATTCCCAAATCACAGGTTTTCCTGCCAACACAATCCTTGCTTAGATATCACCCATCTAATGCATCTAACACCCATGGCTGAAGCTGATGGCAAGCCATAAGTCAGTTAGTTTGAATGACATTTTGATAACATGAAGTATTTGGGATCAACTCATGGCAAGAGCTGACAAAGCTGGTCTCAGTCAACTTCTCACAACCCACGAAGTCCCCATGTCCACCCCATCTCCTGAGAGCAACTGGAATTCAAAACCACTTACCCCTCTTGGCATTCTAATTCCTATTTCCTGTACCAAAGAAAGTATGGCCCTGAAGCAAGAGCATTGCACTACATTCAGTGCACCTGAAGAGCTCAGACTCACCAGAATAGTTGTGTTGCCCTCAATGAATTCCACAAAAACCTGTAGAACTTGCTCCTGTGTCTTTGTAGTTTTGAAGTTTGTGTTACATGTTCCATCCGCCTTCTGCACAAAACCACACACAGGAGAGATTATTTATACTGCACACATATCATTCCCCTCATCACTCAATCCTCTTGAACCAGCAACAGCTCAGCCCTTGCTAACCAGATGAAAGTAAGTAGCTGAACAGGAAGAGAACAAATAAACCAAGCAAGAAGAAGAGAAAAGCTGATTGGACAGCTTTAAATGACACTGGCAGTTCATTCTCTGTTGAGTACAAGTGAAAAAAAAAGAAACAATTCATGATATTACCAGCTCGCAGGAGTGCTTTCTCACATCAGTGCTAGCAGTGCCAAGTTCAGTGGGGCAAACCACAGAGACCTCTTTGGTTGTACTCTTGTCTGGCTAGTGAAAACCTGGCTGAGGGTGTGAGGGAACATTTCCAAACCAAATTTTACTAGCCCATTTAGTTTAGGGGTTTCTTTTTGGTTTTGGTAAGGATTTTTTGGTTGTTGTTTGGGTTTTCTGTTGTTGCTGGGTTTTGTTGTGGTTTCTGTTTTTCAATGGAAAATCAAAGAATCACAGTTAGGATTCAGTTCCAAATACACCTTTGAATATATAATGTGACCTAGAATTCACAGAACAGAAATCTGTTGCAGACAGGAACAAACTGGGATTCTCAATGCTAGGAGTGAGAAAGCAGGTAAGTGAATTTTGGCAAAGGACAGTGCAGGCATGCTTGTTCCAAGTGTGTCCTGGAGAAATTCAGAGAATTTTTGTGCCAGAGATGAGATTCAGTACAGAAGTGTCCTGCTACTGAAAAAAACGAGTATTTTTATGTGCTTCTGGAGCTACAAGTAAATAAGAGCAGTACATGAATGGGAGGTATCTGTAAACATAGACTATATGAATATGCATGTGCCCAAGAGCATCCCTGTTACTTCAAGAGACACTAATAGGAGATTTTAGGATATACATATAAAATACAGCAATTATTACAGTCTGTAACAAAAATCCACTAAAAGCCTGCAGGATTATCAAACTGTTTTCTTCTCCATTGTATCAGTCCAATCCCTTGTTTTCATTGTGAGTACATCAGCAGGTCAATAAAATATGTTTTCTCCTACATGTTAAGTCACTGCACCAAAATGACAAATTCAAGTCCAGTCTCTCAGCAGGTGAAACACTATTTACTCCACAGCTGAACTTAGTTTCTAATGTATACATGAAAAAATTCAATAATGCTAAAACTCCAGATCTCTCATGCAAGAGAATTTTATTCCAAGGTTGTTGGACAGATACAAGTGCAGCATGTCAGCCTGATGAGATGTGCAAGTTATGCCAGAGAAGTTCAGCAGGTAGGCAGGGAAAGTTAGAAGCCATCTGATCTGATGTGTGATAATACTCAAGAGCACATAGAAATTTGGAACTTCATCTTGTACCTCTTCACTGGAGTAAGGTTGTTTTAAAAATAATTTCTCCCTATGCTGCAGACTGTATGTAGAGCAATGTCTAGAATAGCTGCTCAGTGCTCCCCTTCTAACTTTTTGTGTCTGGACAAACTAGTTACTTGCTTCCCTGTGGCTGAGAAACACTTTTATGATTTTGCTCCTTTCCAGAGGTTGGCAGGAAACATAATTACTGCCCGGCTTTACTTGCTGTAAACAACATTCAGAGCTTGAATTGCACCACCCCAGTACTCTAAACCAGGGCTCTGCAACAGCTCTGGATGTACTTGATCCTCAGGAGGCACTTGCCTGACTCACTCCCTGAAGTCGTAGCTTTGCTAAGGACTCCACATACACTCCTGCACAGCAGAGCAGACCATCACACAGTGCAGCTCGTGGGCCAGCTGCTACATCTCTCATTAGATGTGACAGGGACATGGTTCCCTGGAGGACAGGTGTCACAGCTCCATAAAATAGTGATATCCATCTTAAACCATGGGGCTCAGAGCACTCTGCAGACTTCCCTTAAAGGGCTCTGGGCTAACTTACTGGATTCACAAAGATTTATGAATCAAATCTGATATCCTCCTGGGAAAACAGCTACCCCTGTAGGGGTAAGGAATGGTACCAAAGGAAGAAGTAACTTTTCAAACTGCACAGAAATTCACTGACAGAATGGGAAGACAGAAATCCCAACTCCCAGCCCCGGGCATTAGCTTAGTATTGTAGAGAAAATGTTTGCAATGCCTGGCCTTCAGACAGCCTCTGCCAGAGAGGAAATGGGCATTTGGAATCAGGCAGGTGCAAGATACTGAGCAACAGGTTCCAACTGTAGGGAAACCAAATGGTACAAAATATTTTTGATAGGAGGAAAACTGACAAATCCCATAAATGAACTTGGCTTGATTTCAGAGATCGAGAAGCAAGGCAAGAATAAGAAATGGATCAACCCAAAGAGAAAAGGCACCCCACTACTGCAGGAGCACATATGGTGAATCAGATCTTCTTTATCAGCAGCCAGTTTACAGAAGGGCTTATATGATTTCACTTTGCATTAGCTTCTTATTCCAGCAGCCACAGGGCAGGAATGACCAAACTCAACATACCTTACCAGCTGACTCCAGGAGTTATCAGTTCTATCAGGGAGAACATCCCCTTATCCCCATCAACCACTAGCTGGCACCAGTGACTCTTACAGGCTTTCCTACCAAAATGGGGACCCCTGCAGAATGGCTTTTCTTTTCTGCAAAAATACAGAACTGGATGTACAGTTCACTTTCAGTGGAACAGTGGCCACCTGTATTGTCTGGACAATTCAGTTTCTGACACCTTTCCTCCATCTAAAAAAATTTAACTACAATCCTCATAACAGGACAGGGAGATAGAGAGAAGGGGAATGTGCCCCAAAGTATTTCCTGTGCTTAGCCAAGGATTAAGTATTCATGTTGTGCACAGTTACAGCAGTGTCTCCACAGAAGGAAACACTACAGAGTCTGTGTGTCATACTGCTCCAACCTTTGACAGCCAACAAATCCACAAAGAACAAGCCAGGAAGTTTTTCTGAAGCTCCCCTGTTCCTCCTTAGCTCAGTTGCTCTCCGGGACTCATCTCTGTACATCTTCACTCACCAACTATCTTTCTTAGAAAGTTCTCAAGATCATCTGAGTTTCTGATTCTGTTACACTGAGGAGCATACAAAGATTTAAGCTGTATAGGAATAAAACACGTATCTGATAACATCATTAGCTGGCTAAAGGGCTAGGCAGGATCCTGTTTTGGCTGGACTGGAGCCAGATCATCTACTCATCTACCACCCAGACAGTTCCTGCATCAGGATGCCTGTGTCAAACAGCCAGGAGTGGGTGGCACAGCATACACAGGGCCAGCACTACATGAGCTGGAAGCCCCAGTTCCTGTATCACAGCAGGAGAATCCGTGAATAAGGAAGTGAGAAGACACAAAGCAAAGGAGAGAGCAAGAGGTATTTAAAGAGCCTCTGTTCATCAGCATCATTGTCTTTTATACCTTATTTCTATGTGCTTGAATTGTGAAATGGAAACAAAACTAATCCAGGTTCTGGAGTGGTGCAGCTGGCACACCTGAAGGATGGGATGCCATCCAGAGGGGCGTAGGCAGGCTCGAAGGTAAGCCTATGGGAACCCCATGCAGTTTAAATGCAAGGTGCTGCACCTGGGTCGGGGTAGCCCCCAGTATCAATCCAAGCTGGAGAACAAGCAGATCAAGAGCAGCCCTGCTGAGAAGGACTTGGGAGTGCTGGTGGATGAGAGGCTGGACATGACCCAGCAATGTGCCTCTCACAGCCCAGAAAGCCAAACGTGTCCTGGGCTGTATCCAAAGCAGAGTGGCCAGCAGGGCAAGGGAGGGGATTTTACCCCTCTATTCCTCTCTCACGAGACCCCACCTGCAGTGCTGCATCCAGCTCTGGGGTCCCCAACACAGGATGGACATGAACCTGTTGGAGCAAGTCCAGAGGAGGCCACCAAATTGATTAAAAAGATGGAAAATCTCTCCTATGAAGAAAGATTGAGTGAACTGGTGTTTTTCAGCCTGGAAAAGAAAAAGCTTTGGGGTGACCTAATTGTGGTTTTCCAGAAGGGAGCCTACAAGAAAGATGGAAAGGGATTTTCTACAAGAGCAGCAGTGACAGGACAAGGAATCTTTTAAAAGTGGGAGTAGGCTTAGAATAGGTATTAGAAAAAGATTCTTTTCACTGCAAGCGGGGTGAGGCACTGGAACAGTTGCCCAGAGAAGTTGTGGGTGCCCCATCCCTGGAATTAAGACCAGGTTGGATGGAGTCTGAGCAACCTGGTCTAGTGGAAGGTGTCCCTGCCCACAGCACGGGGGTTGGAACTACATGATCTTTAAGGTCCATTCCAACCCAGGCTGCTCTGTGATTCTAAAAAAAATAAGGAAGTAAAGGGTAGGAAATAAAATTGCCAAGGTTCTACTGTGGCTGTAAGGTAGTATCCTAGGAATGGTACAGGGGCACAAACATCCACCAAGAACAGCAGATGGACTTGGCTGATGGAGAAATTTCATTCTGGATTGTTCTGGCTTTATTCCAGCTCCATCTATACTGGATCTCATGTATTTAAAAGGAAAAGTGGTTTCCTTGATCTCAAGAGTATCTAAGCAAATGCTTTTAACATGCCTTGCCAATAAAAGTAACTGCAACAAAACAACTTTACTGTGATTCACTTGGAATAAATATGTATAGTTCCTGAATAAAACAAGTAATTGCATGCAGAGAGGGAGTTAATACTTCTGTTCTAAATTCCTCCATACAACAGTCTCATTTTCATTCTATCTGCACTGAGAGTCCTTCCTGTAAGGTCTCTGTAGTTGATTCAAGTATGGCTGATGTGTATTTGAAGATTAAATTCATTGACGCTCTCTGCTACAATTACAATGAATGCTTTAAAACTGCACTAGAGTGAACTCTGTGGTATCAGTTAGTGCATTTTCACATAATCCTTTCGAAAAGCTGGCTACTGATGTGCACAAGCTTTTTGATTAATCAAATCACATCAAACAAAGCTCAGTCTCCAGGAATAGGCAGAGGTGAAACAATTACCTTAATTCCTTCAATCCTGAAGCCCAGGTTGGCACTAGAGCTGATGGTTTCTCTCCACTGCATGTAGCGGGGTTTGGTGACTGCATGCTGGGCGTTCTCTTCAGCCGTGGGAGCGAGAGGATCCACTTCAATCATTTTCTTGTACATGTCCTTACGCAGCTTTGGCTTCTCTCGTGCCTTAGCCAACTCTTCCTCCAGGTATGTTCTGCAAACATCACATCCCAACATATCCTTATGGACTTTCTCAACATTTCTTTTTACAGCTTACAAACTGGCCTCAAGAAACATCAACCAGGAAAGTAAGCCTTATCATTGCCCCAGTTTTGCATATGGGGAAACCAAAGTACACAGAGCAATGACTGTGCAGGCATATTTAGTGAAACAGCCCCAGGAATCAGGAATTCTAATTCACTTCTTGTTCTAACCATACCTTTACTTACTGTAACAAGTAACGATTATTTCCTGGTTACAGAATAGGAGGAAGCTGAATACCTACTGTGCCATAAAATAGAACTGCATTTTCAGAGGACAGGTAGGAGTGGTCACTTATAATGAAATCAAAAAACCAAATAGGCCTATTAAAGACTTACTGCATTCTCTCTCCTCAAAAACCATCAGTCATGGGTAATTTTTCAGGCCTCTGAAAGTTTAAGTTTTACTTAATGCATCTCAGTGAAAGATAGAACCACTCTATAGAAAAAACTAAGTATTAAGCAGATTATCAGAGTAGTTCCACACCAGAAGAGGTAACTAAGAACAGGGAGGTGAAGAGACACAAAATCTCCTTATTTTGCTCTTATCACTCGATTTGTTAATCTGACAGCCATTAGAAAGGCACTGTCCATGCTCTCTACATTGCACTGGATTCCTAAACCTTGCATTTTGTCAAGTGCCTGAAGTTTACTTTCTTCATAACAGCGAAACAAACCAAGATGTCATTTAGGAGATGATGTCACTCACTGCCAGAATGTCATCTACTTTCAACAAAATGTGTACTGTTGCAAATCCTTCTCCTTTTTCCTCTGCCCATACTAGCGCTACGTCTTTCTAATCAATTTAAAATTTTTGCATCTATCTGAAAAGGTGTATCTGCACTCCTGTAAGTAGAGTAACTAATTTATGACAATTACTCTTGAGTATCTGAGCTGACACCCAAAAGATTACTATGACAGCTCATACTTCTCTGTACTGTTACCTTACTCCACGATCTCAACAAATCTCTTTGTTATGCTTAGATAGTATTTTTTATGTTTTCATCTTAATCACAGACAATGAATGGAAAAGAAAGTAAGAACCTGGAGAACAAAGAGATGGCAACACCTCAAGATGTCAGAGTAGGGAAAAACACATGTCAGTCCTGAGCAAATGGTCAACTCTTTAAAGAAAAGATCAATACCAGCAAAGACTCATTCAAGCATTGGAAATGGACTTTCACACTGCTATTCAGTCATTTGCATTGGGAGATGGCAATTTTACTTTGTGAAGCTTTCTGAATCACTGCATCACAAAGATTCAATGAACTGGCAGTGAATAAATCATGTCATTTTTCCCCATGTATTATCAGGCCACTGCAGAGAAACTTTGTCTTAAATTACCCCTGAAAATTTCTTGATGCGGATAGTTTTTGGGGCTATAAATTAGTTAGTTTCCAGAATTCATGTACAAACTGACAAGAATGGGACATGTTGTCCAAGGTGACTGCGAGCACATCTCCCCCTTCCTTCAAATGCAGAGAAGGCACATTCTCTTTCATTCACCCCACCTGATCCCCATCTTGCAGTCCATCACACTTGGCCCTTCAAAATCAGTAAGCAAGTCATCCAGCTGGATGTAGCTCTCGCCATCTCTCTCCACCACACCATGGAAGCAAGGGACGCAGGAACGTAGTGGGTCTTTCATCAATCGCTCAAAACACTCCTTTTCATTCTCTGAGAAGCGTTTGAGAATCTTCCCACTATCAGCTGCCTTGAAACTCCCTAAAAAAAGAAAATCAAACACTTGCTGACAAGATTGACAAGCGAAAAAGAAAATTCCCCCACCATTCTAGTTTCATCTATCTCAGTCTCATGGCAGCAGTTAAAGATTTCCCGTGAAGAGGAAAGATGTTTTTCATAAAAAATAAAACACACTGGACAAACAGTTGTTAGCAGTGAAAGTCCGTTTGGATACATTCCCATGTCAGAATTTATAGCTTTAAGGAGTGCAATTGCTTCAGGCCGTTGGGCTGTTGGAAGTTTTTTTCCTGCTAGTCTTTGCTAGGTTATTAAACAGTACTATACTTACTAAAACGCACAGGAAGAAGCCACGAGCCAGAATTCATTAATCCTCTGTCAGGCTATTTTAAAGGTGCATAACACTGCCAGCACTGGCTTTGTCCCTAATCCTCACACAGGGCATACACACCTGCTGAGGTGTCCAGACGGAGGCAGCACGGTCAATCAGAGATAGTTAAACAGCCAGAAGCCAAGCACTGCCCTTTCCCCACACACACACACACACACACACACACACACTGTGAATGTGCCTGTGTCTGCCTGCAGGTACTGCCTCTCCTCTGGAAACCTGCTAATCTGCTAATGCCCTGCAGGTACAGTCTGGAGGGCGACAGTGCTTTTACAGCCCAGTGTCTGAATGGTATCCAGGACAAATGACATCTGCAGAGGCCACAATTAGCAGTAGTCAGCCTCCACCTGTCCTGCAACCTGCCAACAGCATCTGAGGAAAGTACCTGTTTCATTCAGAGGAACCCTTTAATCTACACAAAATAAATTGGGCACCAAAGTAGGAGCCTCATTAATCCTGGGGATAACACTCAATCTTTACCACAGCAGGATCCTTCAGCCACTGCAAACTGGTTCTTCTCAGACAAATCCTAGAACAGGCACTGTCTTGGCAAAAGAGCAAGGCTGGTAATAGCCCAGGTTCTAATTCAGAAAAAAACTATCATATCAGAGAAGAAACAGCTGCAGAAAGGATGGAGTAAACCCAACCACAGAACACTGCTAAAAGGAAACTGGAACAGTATCTCTCCTAGTCAGCTTCTAATAAACTCTTAACCATCCTCTTCCACTCTACTATATGAGTGTCCAGAAGGGTTATGATTACATGACCAGTGCATCACTCCATACAGATGAAGCCAACTCCACACACCTGTGACAATACTGCACTAAGACTGGGTCATCTTGGGACTTCCTGTGATAAAAATCAGACCCAACAACTCCACTGTGCAAAATGCAGCTACTCAGTTTCTAGGGCTCAATAAATTTCTCAGCACAGCTTTGAAGTGCACCATATTATGGCATTAATATACACAGAGGTGCTTCACATGCTGCATTACAGCACGATGCAGCGTGGGTGCCTGCCCACATGTGTACTAATAAACCCCCACCAGCACTGCACAGGAATTATACCAAGCACGAGACACAAACCTGATGACTTCTCTTTGTTGTTTTCTTGCCTTACAAATGAAGTTAAGCCTACATCAGGAGCACACCTACCAATTTTTACAGACACAAAACTAGAACCAACCAATTGAGCTGCTCCTTGTACTTTTACAGTGAACAATGACAGACTCACAATGCAAACACCTGGTCAGCAAGGCAATTTTCCCATTTGTTTTCCACCCAAGGACTTACATTCAGATGAGAGGTTTGGAGTGGTATTATAAAGACTGTCCTTTTCAGAGCTGAAGCACATACAGGTGCAGACAGTAATCCTTCCCCCTAGAGAACTAACTACTGGCTACTCAGTCAGGAAAAATGATCCCATACCACAATCAACAGCATTGGACAGATTAGGGCTTTAGCTCCCCAACCTCTTGTTTCCCTCTAACAGGTATTTTACACATATCACCTTACAGGCCTGGCCCTCCTCCAGAGTCTGACCATTGCTTCCCTGCTCATCTCATTATTCAGGTATATCACTCCCACTTCCGTATCCACACCACAACTGAAATACGTTTTAGGTCACAGATATGTGTGATATTGCCTGCTTCCTTTTCACCTGAAGGAAGCAAACAGAGAAAGACTGTTCTTGCTGCAGTCATCCTCACTCCAGAGACAAAGACATTGAAGATACCCCTCTCACCTGTATGCCCAGCCAGCTGCACCCACGAGTAGCGTTTCTTGAAGGGGCTGATGACTGGTAAGTTAACCATGGTTTTAATTGTATGCCATGCCTTTTTCTGGAAAAGAAAAGAAACCTTAAGTTGGGCAAAAGCTGAAATCCTGATATGCCACAAATATATTATACGGCTTCATGCACATTGAATTGCTCCTCACTAATGTGTAAGTGCTCAAAGGTGGAACCACAAAACAAACACTATCATCATTGTTGGAAAAATATGCACACAAACCCAAGAATGTACAAATAAAGATAACGCCCTGCCATGCACAAGAAAGCTGCCTATAAAGAGAAAAAAAAAAAAAAAGACAGACTGCACGTCACAGGCCTGCTCTAAAGCACACCTCACCCTCTGTGTGTGAGTCACCCAGTATGTGGACAGCAGATGCTGAACGAACACACACATGCACACATACGCACATTTAAGTTTCCATGAGACATGCACATAAGCTGCTTGTCACAGTCAGCAACACTTCCTTTCCCAGAGAACTTCAGCATCACCCCATGATTAACAGCTTTCCCCGAGTCAGCAGGTAAATCTTACTGTGACACATGCACAGAAAGCACATCTCTAGTTGATCACAGAGCTCACCAGGTCCCTCAGTACCTACTGACAGCATGCTGTACAATCTACTCCAGGTCATGAATTTTCCCACTCCCTCCCCTCTTTCCCAATCCTGTTACTTTTTAACAAAACTGGGCATTGCTCTGGCAACCTTTGGCTGCAGCTGTCTGGGTACCTCTGAAGGCAGACAGGGAAACAGAGCAGCTGCTCACAAAGAGCAGCTGAGTGCTCTGTCACATAGGCAGGGAAAAAAAAAAAAAAAAAAAAAAAAGAAGTAGAAAGTGAAAAAGTCTCATGCTCTGGAACTGAAACCCAGATGGGAGAGAACCACAGCCCACCAGTGTTCACGTTACACTTGGAGGGATCCCAAAGTGCTTTACAAACAAGGAGAGCAGGGTCAGTTTTTCCATCACTAGAACACAACACCCTGTTGGAGAAGAAAAATGGAGCTGCATTGTACTTATGGCATGACAGTTTAGGGGGTTTTGTTGAGATCAAGTGTAGCTGGTGATTAGGCTGTATTTACAGAAGTGTTTGTCAATGGTCCAATTGGAAATCACCCAAATCAAGAGGAGGAATTAATGTCAAACCTAAAACAAGCTTAGGTGCTTGTTCATCAACTGAAAAATACACATTCCAAACAATTGTGTGCTCTCTACCACGGATATTGGTCTGAAGATTTAGGTGCTTAGGATACCTAATTTTTATTGTCGTCTACACTCTAAGTGAAAAACTGAAAATGTGAAATTGTAGGCAATGATACACAGGCAAAATGTTGCTCTCTAGATCTCTCTGACCCAGCCACACTTCCCCAAACTTAGTAACTTACACCACATTTCTTGTAAGGTACCCTAAAGCAAAACTGGTCACCATGTGAGGGCAAAAACTTGCAGTTATCTTAGAATGTATCAAGAAGATATATGAACCCACAGGTACAAGTGATTTTTTAATGACTTGCTTTCACAAGAAAGTTTTAAGTTATACTTCAAATTAAACTGACATACCAATATAATTGCCATATGAGCATACTTACTCTGAAATGAGTTTGCTTCTACTTATTTAACTTTGATTTTTAATGGAGTTCAAGCTGAAATTAAGCCACTCTTAGACAGATATGCACCCCATGCAGCAATGATGCATGGGGTGCATATCGAAAGCATGATGCTTTCGAAAACATACTATGCCAGTGAGAGGAAGCATCCAGAGAAAATCCTGGATGTTTGAGAATTACAAAGACTCAGTTGCACTTACCAAAACTCCACAGATGTTACTGGCTCTAGCTGAACTCCAATTTCATAACTAACTTTGGCAAGTTAATATGCTGTATTATTTGGATTTCATATTTCTTATAATTTGCCTTAAGCTGTTCCAAACTGCAGCCTTGCAGGGCTGAACAGTGACTTGTGTCAGACCCAGCAGCTCTTCTGCGAGGATGAGAGACTCTTGTACACCACTTAAACATGTCCATAGCCTCCTTCTGGAGGAAAGTGCAATGTAAATACTGTTTTTCAAGTAGCATGGAAATTATTTTTGTATAGTTTGTTTGTCAGATTTCACTGAGAGCAGAGCTCTTCAGTCTACTCTGCTGTTTCTACTTCAGAAGGACAGAGCCCCAGGTTATTCAAACAATAGTTGAAAAAAAAACCAACATTATGAAGTAAAATGACCTCTTTGAATGCAGCTCCTGCCAAAGATTTAATTTTTTAAGATTCCAGACCAGTTTTCAGGACAACACTGCTTTTTCCCCATCCCTTAATCAGAAGTCAACACTGCTCCATAACTTTGCCATAAAGACCCCATACACATCATAATGTTCCACTCCAAACAACTTGCATCCTGTCTCCCAGTGACTTGTCATGCTGCTATACGCATCAGTAACAAGAAGCACAGATTCTCAACAAATGCACATCAGCTGTCAATGCAACATCACACTCCAGTGGCTCTCCTGCCTCCTCCCTCCCACCTAACACTAAGAAGCTGAAGCTTTTATTTGTACTGTGGGCGTGAAGGAGAGACAATGGGCCAAATTCAGCCCCAGCTCAAATGGACTTTGGCTGCTTAAGTTACAGCGGCTTTGGATAAGTATGTTTAAGTTACTCATCCAATAAATAGAGACACTGGCCATTTTTACTTACCCTTTTTAATTTTAAATAATCTCTTCACAAACCTCTCCTCCCCCTCAAGACAGAGAAAGCAGAAGGCTCAAGCTAGGAGGGAAAGGATTGCCTTCAGACCCGTTCTGTGGGGAGTGTTGCCATCAGCAGGGGTTCAGCAGTTTCACTTTCCTTTACCTCAATTCCTGGTTTCCCAGCTCACTCAACCCAGGGTACAAACTACCAGGATGCAAGGAGGGCTGCATGATGGTACAGCAGTGGTGTGAGTGGGAAGATGAAAACTTTGTGTGCTTACTGTAGGAGGAATCATTCTCACTTCTATTTCTAAAGCAAGATCTCTTCTTCTTTGTTAGCAATGGCATTATGTGCTTTTCAAATCACTGCTTTATGCTGCAATGGCAAAGAGGGCTTCTACCACTGTCCATCTGCAGCCTTATCGCCCTCTGTCCCTGTTTCTTCTAGATTCCTGCTCAGTCTTCCTTGATTTTTTGCTCTGCCTGGGTCTTTTTAAGGCCTCACTTCTACTAGATTCCCAGGGCAAACTCAGGTATCTCTTTATTGTATCTGCATTCAGGATTGTCTGGATCAGATGCTCTTGACATCACTGATGCTGTTTTATATGCCTCAATATGCTCACGAGTTTTCCAACAGCAAGAAGAAAGGCATTCCAAAAGAGTCAAGAAGCAAACATGAAAAATATTAACATTCTTAGACTCAGCATGTAAGTTACTTGATGTGAACTTTAATTGACACATGATATAAACACCCCTGAGCAATAAAAGGTGTGGGGCACTAAAGAGGGAAAAGCAAGCTTTCTGCCAATGGGGCAGGCCATGTGACAGTCTGTGCCATGGCAAGTGTGCCCCTGGCAGCAAAAGGACAAAATTTCATGGAAGAGAATGGGAGAAGCAATTCACACAATGCACCCACAGTGCATGCAAAGGAACCGTGGTTTAATACCTGATCTGCTACCTGGATTACTCTCTTGACTCGTCTTCCTAAATTTGAAGCACAGCTCTGAAGAGAAGCACACATCCACAAAACAGATGTGGAGACCTGCTCTGTGCACACACAGACAAGATGCTGGCCAGGTGAGCTATTCCCAACCTATTTAACTCTGGATAAAGGTGGCTGCTGCCATTATGTCTATCCATTAAGAAAGAGCAAAAAGCAGCAGTACAAACCAGTGAGCACCACTGGTTTGTGTGAGCACAGCTTTCTCCAGGCCTTTTCTCATGATAAGCATGCAACTTCACACACGAGCAGTGTGCAGAGGCACAGCCATGATGAGCCTGCACAAATACACCAGAGGACTTGCCTGATGAAAATCCACTGAACTCTCTGGGAGGCGTTTCACTCATTTCAAGGAGATTGGGCTCAGACCCACTGTCCCCAAGAACAGATCTCCAGGAACTACCAGGCATTCCTGAAACACTCCCATCACTTCAGGACAAGAGCTGTAACATCCTAATAGGCAAACACACTGAAGAGATTAGTGTGAACTCTCTGAATTGAATGAGGTTCTTTTAGTTGCTGTTGTTATTTTACAGGCAGTACAGAACAACTAGCATCTCTCTGAGCATATGCTGAATCCCTCAGGATCCCTCTAATTCCTAAAGGCAACAGCTGATAGGGACCTGAACCTTCCTCTGCTGCTCTGTGGAAAAATAAATAGAATCTCTCACTTATTTAAGGGTAAAAAGAAAACAATAATATCTCAGTTCTGTGAATGTCTGAAACACATGTAACTACCCTCAGGCAAGAAATGACAAATAGGTAACCTGTACAAGGATTTGTTTCACTTAAGACTTTTCAGCAATTACAGTAATTAAAATCATCAGTCACATCTAAATTAGGAAGTGTTGAGGGTAGGGGGAATAAGAAAAACCTTTTCTTCAGAAAAATGAAGTAATTCAGCTTTCATAATTCTAGCATATTACTTGAAACTATAATGAGTTAAAGAACAAAAGAACACTAAAATTCAATATAAATCAACAGGTCTTTAAAAACACCCATGATTCCATCAGCAGCAACGTGGAGGCACAGTTTCTTGCCTGAGCTGGTATATGATCATGGAAATTCTGCTAGGCTATTGTAAACAATGACCCTTGAACACTTTTATTGGGTAAATTTCAGCTGTTTCTTTATCCAAGATTCTGTTGTCTTTTTTTTTTTTTTTGTGCTCTAGAGCAAAGCCTACACAAGAAAGCTATTATGACAGCAAGAAACAAAAGGATAATGAGAAATTTTTTTTAGTAATCCTTTTTTTTCCTAAAAGGCTTTAACAAAGAGTACTTAATAGTCAGCCATCATTATCTACTGTTCTCTTAAAGTCTTTACATCATTTAGGCTAAATTCTGCCACTCTGGGACCTGGGGGCTG